ATATATATATATATATATATATATATATATATATATATATATATATATATATATATATATATATATAATTTTTGGTTTGAAGTGATTTGAAGAGTTTTTAACCCATATTTGATACTTTCTAAGTTAACACTACAATCGAATGTAAGAAAATTCATTTATGAACGTAACAGTAAATCATATTATCAATCTCACTTTAATGTTTTAATATAAAATATGAATCTTTTGATGCAAAAACTGATGTTATATTATACAGAATACTGTCTTGAAATTAGATGATAATGATGATGGGTAGTTGTGTAGCTCTCTCTTATTGCAATTCAGATGTCAGTATTCCTCGATCTGCTTACTATGTCTTAATTCAATATTTGACGGTCGAAGTTCACGGTTGTTATCGGTGTTAATCTTAGTTTAATATCAGTCCAAAGTATGGTTTGTTCAACTCTGATAACACTAAATTTGTTGTATATTTTGTGTCAGAGTTATTCTCAATAAATGTCTACTCTAAATCAACTTAGAGTTTGGATGATTCAAAAATAAATCTTAGAAAATATACCCGGGATCCATGATAATTATGAGAAATAGTTACGCATTACAGTTGAATTTAATTATGATCATGATATCATGAGTGTCGAACTCAAAATATGATAATAGTTGATTTGACTTAGTCAACACCTCGATCATGAAACGTCGAGGTGTTGACTATTTGTCAATCACATGTCTTTCACATGGTGTTAAGGTGTTCGACACATGTCACAATACATAAATATGTCAATTGTGTGTTTTCATATGTGTTGAGATGTAAACGCAAGTCGATCATGGCATTGAGGTATCGATTGCATATCAACCATAAGTCACCCATGCAATACCAAGATGTCGACTAAGTCATTAGTCCAAGTCACTATGCTAAGCACCTTCTCTTTACTTTTGTTTATTTATTTGAAAGGATGGATCATCGTTCATCGAGAGGTGAATTTTGTCTTTGACTAAGAACTGTTTGTAAATATGATGTTCTTACATACTCATTAGTTTGTATAAGATCATCAAATAAAGGACGAGACATATGGTAAAGATGCAGATAAATTGTTCTCGCTAATATTTTGCTTGCGTAGATTAACCAAAGCAATACATAATACATTTGGATTGCTCAACATAGAGAGATCGGCCCCTTCCACATAAAATTGATTTGTTCTTGAACAGACCAAGGCTCCATTTAGGTTGCCTTTTTTGCTTAATACTCAGGTGACTCAAAAGTTCGGTAAACAATATGGGCATGTGAGTGATGCCATCAACAACAAGTGGTAGAAAACCATTCATTTCCAAGTTCATCTTTTACATCACTGATAGAGCATAATTTGGTATCATGACGGATCATATCAGCACCATATCTCTTGAGTACGACACGACCTCCCTCCAAAGATCGGGACGATATCAACCGAGTACATCATTGTCTCACAAACGAGACACGGTACCGTAAAAGACGGGCTTGAATGAGGCAGCATCAGTTGGCCATCAAAGAAATCAGGTGTATATGTGATTGTTCATCTCAACTTTTCTTCCTTTTTGGATTTTGGTAGAGTTATGAATTTATTTCATGCACAAAAGACAAGTTGAATTACCTTCTTTTTTTTTTAATGACAATCCATGGATTTAATATAAATACTATAAAAAAATATTTAATTTATAAAATTCTATGGAATAAATGACGAAAGATGGAATTCTAAGTTTTTATCAACTAAATTAATTAGGAGTTCGTGTTTTTTGAATTTTGTGAAACTCATAGTTTTAAGTTGATTTAATTTCTAAGTTTAATCCCACACAATGTGGAAGGGAAGGGATTGAGACTCTCAACTTAGGATTAATTATCTTTGGTCAGTGGTTCTTATCAATTATTGAGTCGTGACGGCATCCAACATTACATTGCACCACATGACGAAGCAATGCCTGCCATTTCTCTCGTGTGGATAACCAACTACGAAGAAGATAACTACACGTCTTGCTCATGTGTTGAACGTGATCCAGTCTCTCTCTCTCGTCATCGGGTCTTCTTCCTCCTGCGCTCGGATTTAGCATGCCTTAGCACATCCATCCACGTATTCGACCCGCCTTCCTCTCCCTGTTGTACCACGACCGCTGCAAGGCCTCTGACGCTCGCAGCACCACCAGAACGTAAGGAAAAGACGCAACTTTCCCCTGCACCGCTCGCATTAAACCAAGCACCGGTGCGGTTGGTCTCACGGCTGCCGTCCGCCAGTCTCAGGAGCGCGCACGGCGCCCTCGGAACCAGAGTCTTTGGCCGCTTCCTGCGCGCCTCCCTTTGCTCTTCGTCCCATTCTTTCCTGCGCTGTTCAAGGAGTATTAATTAAGTAAGGTATTGTTAGGAGGAAGGCGGAGAGTGTGGAATGGTGGTGGGGAGATGGAGTTCTGGCCGGAGTTCATGGCGAGCAGCTGGGGGAGGGAGTTCGTGGCGGGAGGGATCGGCGGCATGGCCGGGGTCGTCTCGGGCCACCCCCTCGACACGCTCCGCATCAGCCTGCAGCAGCCGCCGGCTCCATCGCCCGCCGCTGCCGCTACCGCTACCGCCCGCCGCCCCGTCTCGGCCGTGGGCCTCCTCCGCAGCATCCTCGCGACCGAGGGCCCCGCCGCGCTCTACCGCGGCATGGGCGCCCCCCTCGCCTCCGTCGCCTTCCAGGTCTGCTTCCTCGTGTCTCGGAGAGCCTACAAGAACTGCTAGCAATTAGCAAAGCTCATTCGTATGTGCTTCGATCGTCCTTCCTTGTGCAGAATGCCATGGTCTTCCAGGTGTATGCAATCTTCTCCAGAGCTTTTGATTCCAAGAGCATGAACGAACCCCCTTCCTATACAAGTGTTGCGCTGAGTGGAGTTGGAACGGGCGCCTTGCAGAGTCTGATACTAAGCCCGGTCGAGCTTGTGAAGATAAAGCTTCAGCTGCAGATGACCGGCGACAAGGGCTACAAAAGAGGTGGGATAGGACCGATCAGCGTTGCCAAGGAGATCGTAAACAAGGAAGGGATGAAAGGTGTATACCGAGGCCTATGGATCACTGTCCTGAGAGATGCACCTTCACATGGAGTTTACTTCTGGACATACGAGTACGCAAGAGAGCAGATTCACCCGGGCTGCCGGAAAACTTGCCAGGAAAGCCTTGGAACGATGCTGGTCGCCGGAGGATTAGCAGGAGTGGTGAGTTGGATCTGCTGCTACCCTTTAGATGTGGTGAAGTCCAGACTGCAGGCGCAATCGAAGCCTCAGGCCGGCCAGCCGCCGCCAAAGTACCTCGGAATTGTGGACTGCATCCGCAAGAGCGTACAAGAAGAAGGTGTTGCTGTGCTGTTCCGAGGAATGGGGACTGCTGTTGCCCGGGCCTTTGTCGTCAATGGAGCCATCTTCTCTGCTTACGAGCTAGCTCTTAGGTCCTTGGTCAGCAACAGTCGAGGGCTGGCAATGGAGGAGACCTGAGCTCTCAAGGGTGAAGTAAAACTAGGAATCCTGTTCCATATGTTCATTGGAGTATTGATATTACTCATCCATAGTTTGTATCCAATGTTTAGATTCTGTTGTGCAGAAAGAAAAGAGCATATTTACGTCCTGTTAGACATAAGACACTTTGGTGACAAGAACACGGTTCGATGTAGCTATGAATGAAAGAACTGAGTTTGAAGTACATTCTTTGGTTGAGATGTCGTTCGGTTCGATGTAGTTAGAGGTCATGCAATTAAACTGGTGTAGTGTGTGAATTCATGTATCATTCATTGAGGACAAGAAGACCATAACAACTGATCATGAAGATTAATGCATCAGTTTCGGATCATGAAAATTACACAGTTTCCAAAGACAATCATTCTTCTATCAAAATTCAACACAACTGATTGAATTATAGTTGATTCATTCTCTCCCGTGCAAAGAAGCAAATTACATTATTCTAATAACTAAAAGAAGAACTCGAACATTCGCTTATAGATCAAGTTCTACGTATCATGGTATGAAGAAACTCAATTAACATTAAAAAAAACAAAAACAAAAACAAAAGAAAGAAAAGTAGCTACACAATCTTGTTGAGAATAAGAATTGCTAACATCTAAGATAAAGAAATAAGTAACAAGGATTATACCAAGCAAAGATGCAAATTCTCAAGCGGCCATGAGCATGTGTTTGTTCTGAGAAAATGTGGCTTCTTCATTGAGATCTGATGTATGTATACTCCTGAATGTTTTCAGCAGAAGCAGCAATCCATCTGAGAGTCCGAATTATTTGTGCTTGTGTGCATTTATTTAGGCATCTTCTTTCTATTAAATTGGAAGAACTGATGCAGCAATCTATGGACTTCACCGTAGCCTTGGGTGGCTGAAACAAACCGTTGCTTTATCCACAGGGGTAGCTTGTTAGTCGGGTGTGAGGGACTCCGGTTTGATGAGTTGCATGCATATCGTGAGTCCACCAACAAGACCGCAGCGTAGTCATTTATATGCCTAATAGCTCGACCTACAGTAGCAAGGAAAAGATCATTGACAGAGCCAATAACTAAATGCTATTTCTTAATAAAACTCAAAAAGAAACCACACCGATTGATTGGTTCACAGCCTTCATGCACAAGTTCTCATAGTACTCTTTTCCTCTTTGCTTGCAACTTCTTAAAACTTCGAAGCCAGATTTGCAGTCATCATAAGGTATACCACTGAAGGGCTCGCTGCATCGCTGTAAGGGGGCTTCTCCTAGTCCTTCTATGTGTTTTACTCTTTCGATCAATTCAACATCAGGGCTTGGATATGGAAGTCCAACCATTATAATGCAACGACCCATACCATCACTTAGATTTATACCTTCAGAAATCTTTCCACCAACTACAGCTAGGAGTACTGCTCCACTGATTCCTGAAGATTTTGGTGTTCTATCACAACATGCAATTGTTTCTTTGTACTTCTTAAGTACAAGATCGATGTCGTTACTGCTTCTGGGTTCTCTGTATACAATTTTTTTCTTTAGAATTTTTGAAAGCAGTCCTGAAGCCTTCCATGCATCATAAACTCGTCGTTCATAGTCAAACGAAGAGAAGAACACTACTACTCCTTCTGGAACAATTGCCACTAGATTGCAAAGTAGGCGCCCCAGTTCTTCTATCTGCTTGGAAAATAAACCATAGAATTACATAAGATAGACATAGAGAATAAATTGCCATTATTCTCTTAAATTAAGTAGCATAATAACAATCAAAAAGAAAAATATGAACTGTGATAGCTATATACAGGATTCTAGAAAAATCTTCTAGGTGCCTAGAATTAGGCTGCTGGCAACAAAAAACGCTCATCATCAAATTGCAGATGTTGGAAAGTAACAATTATGTCTAAGACATTAAAAATTCTCAAATAACTATACTCCATTCTTGGATACACTAACAGGTCTAAAGTAGCTCTATATGCAACTAGGCCATGAAGATGTAGCTAACTGCAAGCATGGAATAGCTTCAAGCAATGGAAACTATTATGCATGGACATCAAATGAATGGATATGCAGATAGTGCAAGTCTGAAAAATAATGAACTGTGCTGGTAATTCAACAATATATTTTTAGGATTTCTTATATTCTCCTATCATATCTATGAAAGAATTGGTTTTAGCCAAGTTTACTAGTGTCCATTTAAAGTATACGACAAAAAGTAAGGCGACCTTAAGACCCCCTAAATTGTTTATCATAAATAAGCTATCATTTTCAGAAAAGAAACCAAGGATTTTGTGTTCCAAGCATACTGAGGCGCACCAAGTAAACACTACTGGTCTGCCTGGCTACTGATATGTGATCTCGTATTGTACTGAGAGTGTGCTATCTAATCTTGGCACTATGATAGCTTGTTATTGGTCATACAAGGTGAGTGTCATGCCATGCTGACTAGTCCAATTGCTCCACCCAGTGAACAATAGATGACTAAAAAGTTGGAATTTAAGTTAAAACAAGAAACTGACATCCATATATTACCAGCCCTACTCCATGCTCATAATGTCCTGATCACAATCATCCCATCATCAATTAGTCAATAACAAAAAACAGCCCTTTCAGAAGTGTTCAACAAATATAACAATCATATCAAAAAGATTCTTGTTAATAGGCAAATTCAAGGAATGATAATACATGATAACAGTAAAAAACAAGCCTTAATGTCCCAACTTCTTGGGTTGGCTGCATAAATCATTTCCCATCATACAAAACTATGTAGGTCAATATTCCTGGTTAAAGAAGGATGATAACCTATATGCTAGTAATAAGTCCAGGAAGTACCGCAATGTGGTCCAAGTTGAATATTGACAGTTTATGTGATTTGAATATCTCTGTCACAATATTTATAGAGTATGGTAGTCAAATCCTAGTAACCGAACCAGGTCCCTCTAGTTCTATTGAAGAACATCAAGGGATACAGATAGTGCCGAATCACTTTATCTGCTACTTACAAAAACAGCCTCAAGACCAAGTGCCCACTAGCACAAAGATCACAAGATCAGGAAAATTCAACACTAATGCAACTCCTAGAGATTTCTAACACAGACAGCTAAATACATAAGTGCCAGATCAAGAAACACATGTCAAAGTCATGCTCAAACAATCAACAAAGAACCTAAAAAAAGAGAAACTACAAAAATCGGCACATTCGAGGTGGTGAATGACTCAGTTCACTATTCTCTATGGGTATATTCTTAAAACTATATGCTATTACTTTTCTCATTTAAGCTCAAGGGAAATTAAAACAGAATGTCTTATAACTTGAGTTGCACTTAGAAAATGCAATGGATATATGAGGTATCACAGGTCAGTTTACTTGAAAATAAACTTATGACAACATTTTGAAATAATAACGGACTTTTCCTTGATCTAAATATAATAGAATTTGAGTTGCATTACTAAATGCAATTGATATATAAGGAACTACAATTTACTTGTAATAAATTTAAACACCATTTTGAAATGATAATTGGCTTTTCCATGATCTGTATAATTTGCATTCAGTGCTAGTCTAGTCACTTTTTCTAGGTTACCAACAAGTGGTGAACAGTAACTTACACCACAAAGTTCGTTGGCTATATCTTAGATAATTATAATGTGTTGGCCCTTTGTATTCCTCAATAAAATCCATTAACCAAACCTTTTTGTTCATTCATAAATGAAAGTGCAGTGATGTTGTATACATCAACAATATTCATTCCAGAGTGACGTAAACCTTTCTTTCATGAATCAGTCACAGTTTAATTATTTCAATAACATTCATTTAGACATTACATATTCATAAGAAATACTATCAAACAGCACGTTAACTTTGCAATAAACATCTGCTTTGAGCCTTCGGTTCAATATAGCATCTAGCATTCAAATAAAATCAACAGAAATATTACAACTATTGTTCCATCAGTGAATTGGAAAACTGAGAGCAAACCATGTTCAAAGAACTTCTTGAATTGTAACTGAAATCAAAATTGATGCCTGATGGTCCACGAGGAACTGAAATGGGCAAAATACTCTCTGGAGGGACAATATGGTTGCACGTGTAGAAATGCACTTGTTCTAGTGACAAGCTAGGGAAGAGACGTACTCTTGTCTCTTCAATAGGCTGGAGTGTCCCCCCAGCCAGAATAACAGCATATGATTGATCCAAAATCTGCAGGGAAAAAATTTAAGTAAGGTTGCTACCGTCAAAACAGTCTTTGTATTTTTTTTTAAATTTTAGTGGACCTGGGAGAATAGACCTCAGAAAATATTCTCTCTCCAGAAAGCATCACAAATTTAATGTATTTTTCTTCTCTTTGATCAGCAAGTTTCAGTCCTGAGAGTAATATTCTTCCATCTCTATCATTGTTTGCCAGTGAAATTATAATATCAGCTAATGCCTGAAAGCCAGATAAGATGCTTCCTTCTGTATCATTGCCCTGACTATCAGAATGAATGGAGTCTCTCTGTAAGCCTGCCAATTTAGTTCCATATCCACTTACCTGAAAGCCAATAGGGTCATCAGCTGGGAATAAAATCCAAGGATAGATGGATGCCACTAATGTGGTACCTTGTAAATTATTTTGCTTTCTTTCATATATCTGTGGAGTTTCACGAAGTTGATGTTGTCAATGTTAAGAGAAAATAAGAACTCATTTATCGTCATCGAAGTATCACCAAGTTTCCCTTTCAACTCCTGCTCATTTCTGCAAGAATCGATGCCATGAAATTGAAGCAACAGTTGAAGGAAGGACCGAATTAACATGATAAGTGTCTGGATGTAGCGTCGATTTCCTGCTCCCAGACGACCTCGAAACTTGTCAAGGTAGAACTCAAGGTTGCAGAGTACTTGCTTCAACTGACAATAGAATGAAATCAAAGAAGTGATTTTAGCCTTGTTGTGTTTAGCCAAGCATGATAAACACTAGTTAGATTAATAAGTTGAAGTTGCCAAAACACCTACTGTAACCAGTAACAAACATTAAACAGTAACTTCTATGGAGTTACATAAAGCAGAACACGTATCAAGATTCTATGGATAAGTTGATCATAAAGTCTCTAAGTTTAGCTCTCTTTTTTTTGTTGAAATATGTTCTATTGTTTTACAATCGCTTGTTTATATCCATCAAACAATTTCATACATTCGTTCTGGAGGAGTTACCTGCATCTGGGTGATCTTTGCATTGTACATGCTGGTGAAGGAATCAGCTAGGTTGTGGGCTTCATCAATAATTATTATATTCCTCCTCAAATTCAAACCTAACGACTCACGAGCTGACCTCAACAATAGGGATTGGTAGGGAAGCACAACGATATCAGATGAACGAACCATGTTACGAGCTCCATAGTATGGACAGCTCCCGATTTTACTTCCTAGCTGCACAAGATCCTCAATGTCCATTGCACCCCTGTCCCGTACCTCACTCTTGAACAGATTCTGCAATTTCTGCTTTCTTAACATAGGACAACCAGATGCGATCTTTGTGCACCGTGCCTTCCCCTTGTCATTCAGGACCTTCATAAGAATGCCCATTGTATAAGTTGCAGCTTCCAATAATAATATCATTAGCATCAAGAATCAACAATTTGTCTGAATATCATTCTATGGTAGCTTAATTGACTCACTCTAACAATTAGCATGCCAGGAGCAAAGACTCTAAAAAAATAAACAATAGCCTTAAGGGGATAAATCATCATCTGCATCATCTTGTCGCGTGTATCATGACTAAAGAAAGCTGGCGAGGAGCAGCACCAGTGTCTCTCAGAATTCGTAACCAGATAATAATACTAAAGGCAAGTGGTTCTCAAACCGTAGAACCAAAAAGAAAAGGACAAACTGAAACAAAATTTTATAAAATAAATTTCACAGACCTTCATTTTAGCATCTTTCTGGTTCTTTTGCAACTCCAAGCACCGTTCATTGATCTGGTTCGTGTTCCCCAGCTTCAAAACCTCTGGTCACAATCAGATATAAACATAACTCGTGCAAGATAACCTCTCTAAACCAACACATCAGAATACAATCTCACCAGAGTTATTACACAGGTTCTTCCTCGAAGCTAAACAAATGACATTGAGCTCCGAAGCAAAAGCCGTCCTCTTGAACTCCTTCACAAACTGTGACAGCTGTGAATGTGTCCGGCTAGAGAAATAAACCTGTGGCGTCACCTCCTCCTCTTCTTCCTCTTCATCGGCCTCCTCATCGCTGCTGCTCCAATTGGAACCCCTTCCTCCCTTCCTCTTCGGTCTCCCAACGCCATTGCCCATCCCCTCTTCTTCGCTCTCGTATTCCTCCACCAAATACTCCTCTTCATCATCCACGGGCTCCACAGGGATCTTCTTCCCGCCCATTGGTTTTGCAATCGACGCCTTCCTGTCAAAATACCCCAACGCAAAACTATTTCTTCTTCTCGGAATCTCTTTCTTATCCGCAGCAGTGACGTCGAAGTCCCTCATCCATTGGGGTTCATCGTCATCACCACCATGGTTGGCTTCACCGGGATCTGCATTCAGCGTCGGGGGACCGCGACGCGGCTTCGGTTGCCGCTGTTTCCTCCTCTGGTCAACGACCCACTGCATGGCGCCGCAGATGAGGCTTAGGGTTTTCCCAGTCCCTGATCCCAAATCAAAGAAGGGACGTCGGGGAAGGAATTCATAAAAGGTCGCGATGCGGAAACGGAAACCGACGGAGATGGAGAAAGCAGAGAAGGGAAAGGAGTACCGGTGGGGCTCTCGAGCATGGCGATGCCGCCTCCTTTGTCGAGGAAATCGTACAGAGAACTCATGAAGTCGGTCTGGATCGGATAGGGCTCAAAAGGGAACGCCGGGAAGTCGCGCCGCGGCGGCTTCGAATCCTCTTCTCCCATTTCGCCCCCTCGTTCTCCTCTCTCTTCCTCCTTTCTTCCGCGTCTTTGTTTTCCCGCGCTGTTTTCGTAGGTTCGACATAAAGGCTATATATCATGTTTTTATTTAGATATATAACGGACGTTATAAATCCCTAAATGTTATTTATATCAATCCAACTGATATGATGCAGTAACAAATGATATACCGAATTCTCTTATCTTATCTTGTTAAATAAAATAATAAAAATAAAAGGTAGACAAATTGTATTATGATCAAATTAATGAATATTGATCGGTATATATACGTGTCCGATTTAGTTTAATGCATGATTTAATGCAACATAAAAAATTCTAATCCAAAATATTATTTTATATACTTTCACAAAGTATATTAAACATAAATTTCTTAAAACTTCAAATGCTCTTTTTTTTTAATTATGTATCAAAATACAACAAAATAATCATTAAAATATATTGAAAATATATCAAGAATAGTAAGAGAAAAAAAATTAATAGGCTTTGATGAATGCAAACAGGTAGAGAGTCAATCATAACTAATAGGATTTGTGAATTTTAATTAATGTTTTATGAGAATAGAAATCCCAATTTAATAGAAAAAGGTTTACTAGTGGTTGAGGTAGAAATGATATTTGATGGAGTTTCTATTCCATTATATGTTACTTCCCTCTCATATATTAATTATTTTTATTTTTATTTTTTATAAAAGGTAAATAACGAATGCGATATGATATGCGACGACTAATGAACTGCGTGGATACGGGGGAATAAAATTGAAACTTTGCGTGGCCAAATTCAAACCTTCAAATAAGAATAATGCGTAATCGAGGACACCTCCCGTGCGAGGGCAAAGAAAAAGAACTCTCTCGTCGTCTTCAGACCAGAAATCGACCGTCCCAAAATGCGAAATCATGCGCTCAAGGACCACCAAACGCACAGCCCCATCGATCTGAAAGCTTTGATCTTGCTCGTACCACCGTCCGATTTCTAATTGCCCAAATCTCTGTTTGATTTGGCTTGCGCTTGTTTCGGTCGACCTATGTTCCTGTCTTGTTCCATCGGGACCGCATCGGATGACCCCATCGAAGATACGGCAACATCGATCGGATGCGGAACGCCGCTTTACCCGATAAGAAGCGGATCGTAACCCGTTCATGTCATCCATTTAAACCGCATGTGGATCCACATAAAGATACCATTTGTCAGTCTCATTAGCAGATCTAACACAATATATCTCTTCCATGTGCCTCACCAACTGTGTGCTGTTCGACAGACGTCTCCATGTGACCCCTCCAATAGATTAGAACGGAAACTATTCATGATTTCTCATGTTAATGGCTAAAGAACAAATGACAAACGGTTTATAGAACAGAAGCAAACTTGCTTTTACGTATTACACCATCAAATAAGAAGCAAACAATTAATCATTTATCCCATACAACCTGAGATTTACTACTCATTGCATTGGAAAGAATACATCAGCAGCAACGAATCATACCTACTACTGTTGCAGTGTGACAATCTGCTATTTGTTGGAGCTGAGCTGACTACAAGAAGTGAAGCTGTAAGCTAAGCAGAGAAATATCATGGTGAAAGTAGTTCCAGGCCTGCTTTCAGATCCTCCAATGTTATTGTCACTAAACCATCAGTGTCGGTGCAATCAAAATCAAGACGAAGATCTAAGTTTTCACGAGCATTTGCAAGCAATGGACCAATTAAACCCCCATTCATCTCCCTCCTTTGTTTATCCGTTGTCTCTCTGTCGATCAACTCTGCAACGGCTTCGACGCTACAAGATGGGTGGAGCTTGAACCCGTACAGTAAACTATTCTGATCTTGGTGGTCCATTTTGATATGAAGAATCTGAGCAAGTTCGGTGGTGTTGAAGTCGTCGAAGTAGAAGAACTTGGTTACCCTCCGACAGAACCCTTCGTTCGATTGGATCACACGTTTCATTGGCTCAGAATACCCGGCAAATATCACCACCACCTTTCCACTGTCCATCACGGACATTATTTCTTCGAGTGCCTCTAAGCCATAGTCCTTGTCATCTGCTTTTTGCATTGGAATCAATCTGTAGGCTTCGTCGACGAAAAGTATTCCTCCCTCTGCTTCATTTATCTGGGAAAAAATAGTTTAATGTAACATTAGGATGTTTGATCCAACAACTTTAACACAGCACAGCCCCCAAATTAGTGTAAGAAAATCACATTTTGACCAAATCTATGTGAATACATCTTACATTTAAACAAAACACACTACTAGAAGAAAATTGTGATGGGCAACATAAATGGTTCATGGTGCAATAGAGGGTCGATAGAAAGAAAGAGAAGCAACTTAAAGATCTTTCTGTGCATCGAGAACTACAGATAGAGAAATTAACAGGCCTTTTTGTGATGTCAGGTAAATAACTCTGAAGCTAATATCTATTGCAAAATAAAAGTATATATACCTTGCGCCTAGTCTTTGGTCCTGTGTGCCCCACAAATTCACCAACTAGGTCGGTCCTTTGCACTTCTGTTACTTTGTCAGTAGATAAAATGCCCACCATGTGGAGGAGTTTCCCAAGAATCCGGGCGACCATCGTTTTGCCTGTCAGATATCAGAAGCATTATAAGAAATCTTTGCGATAATCAAAGATAATAATTTGTAGTTTAAGTGATCGACACATTCAAATGCATATACATTTTCCCCGAAAAATGTATTATGTTTCAGAGAAAAGAGATTTAGGATTATTTTTTTTTAATATTATGGAGTTGGCCCTTTCAAGTTTAATTCACATCAAAATTACACATAAAAGTCAGATTGTTAAAAGAGATCAACTCGATCAGATGCCTTCAGAGCAGCATATCCAACTTCTTGCCAAAATGGAAAGTTGTATCACATATTTTGCAACTTACGGACCAGAGCCTATCATAGTATCATGTCTGGTAGCAAGTACCTGTTCCAGGATTACCAAGGAACGCCATATGTGGAGGCCTTCTTGGTGCTATATTTAATCCCAATGCCCGGCGCTTCTCATCAAAGAGCATACCCCTAGCCCATCTACGCAATTGCATTTTGAGCTCCTGCAATCCCACAATATTTGAGATAGCTGCTTCAAACTCAGTCATTTTTGCTTTTGCCTCGCTGCATGACTCAATTGCTTTTCGCTTTCTTTGCTCCTCCATATGCCGACCAAGGAGTCCTCGAAGTTTCTCGCTAGAAGCACCATCTGAGAGATGATTTAAAGGGGTCATTCCCTCCTATCATACAAAGAGTACAGTTAGATGTCTGCTATCCACATGCTCTTTCAAGATATTTCAAGATAATCCGACAATGCTAAATAATGAAAGCTTACATTATCTTTGACACTACAATCAGCATTATATTCTAGCAATGTGCTCACTGTAATGCTATCTTCTGCTCGCAGTGCATGCCAAACAGCCAAATGTAATGGAGTCATTCCATTCTGAAATTGACATAACAAAAAAAATAAAGGTAAGGGAATGTCAGTGCACAAGTATAGTAAACCAGAAACATATGGCAAGGCAGCCAAAATTATAGATCTGTAATCCATGACTTGGGAGAAAAATGAATAATGCTGTTAAAGAACTTGCATTGGCTTTTGCCTCAAGAGAAGCACCGTGTCTGAGAAGCATCCTTGCTGATTCACTGCAACCATTTTTCGCTGCCATGTGCAATGGTGTTTCACCATACTGCAATCAATATGCACCGATGGGCGTTAACGAACAAATAGTTTGGTATGCTTACACTGATAAGAAGAAATTATTTCTCTCAGCCTACCATGTTCCTTGCCTCCAGCTCAACTTTCTCTGGACCTTTCCACTCAAGCAGGTACTTGACGATACTAGTATTGTTATATCCAGCTGCCACATGAAGTGGTGTTTGTGCCATCTACAAATAATCAGAAACCTCGATGAACATAAGTGTTGCAAGAATAAGTAGCACTTGTGGTAGACAATGTGATCAACAATTGGCAAGATCTAAACTAAGCACGCCTAACCACAAGAGTAACCTGACTATCAAATGGCAACATTAAGTACATTGATGCTTTAAGTAATGCATAAGGTGAGGTTCTGAAAAGATCCAAAGGCTTATAGTCACCATTTTGCCAAACCAACATCGAAAATAAGACAATGTGCTAATCATCCGAGATTTTAGAATAACACTAACTTATAAGAATTCTGCCCAAAAAACATTCTCTACCAACTGATGAAGATTATTAAGAAGAACATCCACAAAACCCAAATTCCAAACCATAAACAAATTCACAAAAAGCAAATTTAGAAAGATCCCTTGAATTTGAACGTCAAAACCAAATTTCCCCAAGATAAAAACAGGTCACGGATCAAGAAGTTAGAATAACAATTTTCTATTTTATTTTTCTCAAGAATTTAGCAAGATAAGAAAAAGTTGTACATATGAAACTAAAATTTTGAACGGTTAACTCCTACCGAATTGAGATGTATGATATATGTTTTAGCAGCTTAAAAAGAGGACAGATATATCAGATGCATATATTGATCTTGAAAATGATTGCAGAATAAACGAAAGCAACCACTTTTGATGCCTCGGCAAAAAAAAAGTTCAAAGAAATCATTCAAGCACCAAATTGCTTGAACAAAAAGATAAAATGAAAAAAAAGACAAGAATTTTAACAAAAGCGTGGAAAAAGACAACAAAAAATTTAGACACAGCAGAAGCTTATGAAAGCGTCGAAGCGAACCAACAAATCGGCAATAGAAGTTTCCATGTAACTAATTTTATTCGATCAAAAACAGGCAGCAATAAGCAGCAAGAACAATGAGGAGCGCGACACGGTCGACGACCAACAACGAATCTATCGAGACAAAGGGCGACCGAGGACGAGAAGGAGAAGGGGGCGTACGACAGCGTTCCTCGCATTGAGGAGCGACGGGTTCTCCTGGAGCCGCTTCTGTACGCCGATGAGGTCCCCGGACTGAGCGCAGCCGTGGATGGTAACCGCCTTGGCAGATCTCGACCGCTGATCGTGGCTCCCCGGCATCCTCTCTCTCTCTCTCTCTCTCTCTCTCTCTCTCTTCCTCTCCCCCTCCCTCTCTCCCTCTCTCTGACACACACGGAAAAAGAAAAGGAGTAGAGAGGAAGGGAGAAAGGGAAGACTGCTTTCTCTGCCCTCCACTTGTTGGAACGCACCAAAACAACTGGAGATGAGCGTGCACTATTTTTTTCCAGCTGTCGTAAATGAAAAGTATTATATTGATTTGTAATTGCATTAATACAAAGTTTTAATTTTTCTATATTTGAGAAATCAATACTGTCTCACGAAAATAAATAATCACGGAATTTTAGACACGAATATTATTATTAGCCAACCCATCGGCCCAGAGTTGGGTCGGATTTCGACCGGGTTTAATGGGCTCCAATTGGCTCAGACCTCAGAAAATTCGACGAACCACGAAAGCAATCAAGGAATTTTAGACATTAATATTATTATTATTATTATTATTATTATTATTAGCCAATTCACGGAATCATAAGCTCATGGAGTCTCCCTTTTGCCTTACGGTTTCAGCCCCGTTGGAATCGCAACCAAATTGGTTCGATGGTTTTACCGATTTTTGATTTTTTTAATTAAAACTAATAATTTCGATCCAAATCACTGGTTTCATAATTAAAAATTAATAAATAAATCAATCAAACGAGTTGGACTAAGAAAATTACCAGTTTGCCCCTCTTAAGAACATATAAATGATTTGTTTTTAGGGATTTTTTTATTATTTATAATTTTAAAAAATATAAAATTTTTAAAATGATGAAATTAGAATCACAAAACTAAAACCATCGATTTTGAGTTCAAGTATATCACTTAGACTTAGGTCACAATCGATCATTTTGATTTTGATTGAAATCGTTATTTTTTATTTAAAATAATTTTAAAATAAAAAATATATAATTTAAATTAAAAAAAATATTTTAGTTTTTTACTTCCTTCGGTTTTATTCAAATTAAATATTTTTTTATGTTATGTTTTATTAGGAAGTATAAAAAAAATAAGCCAATAGATTCATATACATATATAGACTATATGTCACCTTTTTTTATATATTAGATTCAATATTTTAATTAGCATTCAACTATTTGTGAAAGTTTTGGTATTTGGTTTTTTTTTTTTGTCTTACGTGTAACTTTTCTTCTACTTTTCTAATGACTTCAATTTTAGTTTTCGTCGATGATGTAAGTTCATTTTGTCAGCTGTCATCATCCCTCATCATTTATATATAACAATATATATTATTACATCATATTGTTCTCACCACTTTACTTGCATGAGCGACCCTCTCAAGATCATAGTGTACAATGATATTTACAATATACTTCGTACGAGAAAACGCCAAAGCCGGATCGAACACCTTCCTACCCTTCTGATCCGACACCGCTGTCGAGCAGCTGATGGGAGCTGAAACATCCATTAGCTCCACAACCAGCCGCCACCCACGGTGGTCTGCATCGGATTGGCTTCACATACGAAGAACTGGCGGGTGCAACAGACTGGTTCTCCCGCGCTAATTTCCTCGGAGAGGGTGTGTTCGGATCGGTGTACAAAGGGAATCTCGAACATGGCCGAGAAGTGACCGTCAAACGACTGAAACGAGAGAGCCGGTAGGGCGAGCGCGAGTTCCAGGCGGAGGTCGACATCATCAGCCGCGTGCACCACCGGCATCTCGTCTCTCTGGTCGGGTGGTGCATTACCAGCAGCGAGAGGCTGTTAGTCAAGACGCTGGAGTTCCATTTGCATGGTATAATGCTCAGCTAATGTATGAAGACTGTGGCCGATCTAACATAAGATTGCATGACCAGAATTGCTTCCATTCGCTGGATTGGCCAACGAGATTGAGAGTTGCCTTAAAAGTGACGGACCTATCTGACGTCTTCTCCTTCGGGGTAGTGATTTTGGGAGTGATCGGTGGTAGGCGTCCTGTTCTCTCGAACCAGTACGCCATGGAAGAAAGCTTGGTCGATTGGGTCAGTCTCATCTCGAGATCTTACTATCTTACATCATGCATCATCGATCTTGTTGCAGGCACGGCCACTGATGTCTCGAGCACTCGACGAAGGAGACCACGACGCTCTCGTTGATCCAGAGGTAGGGGATGACCACGATTACAAGGAGATGGGGCGAATGACCGCCGGTGCTGCTGCTTGCACCCCTCATTCGGCAAGCCTGACACCTCGAATGAGTCAAGTACCACCGAGCTTTCATCTTCGTCCACCATGATCATGGTGATCAGAAGCTTCTTGACCTTGAGCAGGTTGTTCGAGCATTGGAAGGAGGCGTAAGTGTTGACGAGCTTAGCGAAGGCGGGGCGACCTGGTCAGAGCGGGCAGTACGGGTACATGACGGAGACGAGAAGGCTGGCGAACACTTTGACGAGCCAAGACGACGGCGGCGGCAGCGAGCAGAGCTCAAGCACCGGTGAGTATGGGTCGCAAGCAGCAAGAAAGAGTGAGGCCTCTGTGATACGTGAGTTGGAGATGAGCATGCTTTTGGATCAGCAACAATAAACGGATGGCATACAGTTGGCTCAATTTGGTATTTGCTTGGAGAATGTAATTTTTGTTTCTTTTTCTTGTGATGCAAATCTTAATTTGAGATAATAATCCTCACAATGCCTCTTTGCTTGATTTTAAGCGTGTCCATAATTAAAAAAATATCTAAAATATATTCTATCAATTTTTCCCATAAAAAAATTTCATTAATTTTTTCACTGGTTTTAAATTATTATAGGATTTTTTTAATAGTATTTATAGTATTTTTATTGAGTACTAAAAATACTATGTATTATTAAAAATAATATAAATGATATTATATTATATTTCTTTAGTTATCTCATATATCATTCGATATTATATTTTTAAATTTATAGTTAGTTTGGTTGAGCTTAGGAGTCTATTTATATCATATATACTATTTTAAAATAAATTATATTTTTTTACCAAAACATCATAGTAAGTCATTTTTTATTTAATTTTTATACTATTGTGTGTGCGTATATATATATTTATATATATATATATATATATATAATTCTAACTTTTTGAGAGTAAGTATTTTTTTTAATTATAAATATTAATTTAAAAAAGAAGCATTATTGAATAAAAGAAAAAAAAAGAAAAAATATTTTATTAGAAAAAATTATATATATATATATATATTATAATCATAATAACTAAAAATAAATCTTTATCATTCCAATCTTTCACTGAGGGAAACGGGGAAGGGAGGTGGCCGAGAAGGACGATGTCATCTCTCCGGTTCTTCGCTCCCACCTCTCAAAACCCTAACCCTAAAACCAGTCACCTTGTTTCTTCCTCTAAGAACGCTATCACCGAAGCGACCAATTTCCCATCCTCTTCCTCTTTTTCTCGTTGCACCTCCCAATTATCCTCCAAGAACCCCAGCCCCAACCACTGCAGATCCATCTGCTCCTCCAAAAATGCCGCCTATAACCGTGCCCGCTCTTCTTCTCCGCCGAAGAGCTCCAATTTTTTGGGGTTCCAGCTCTTCCGGCCGCGGGAGCACCGGAGGCAGGTCGGATGCGGCAGGGGAGTGGACGACCGGAGCGACGAGATTGACGCCCCGCCGCTGTTGAACTGGAAGAATGGCGGCGGTGGAAGCGGGAACGGGGAGGGTGGGGATGGAGGAGAGGAGGAGGAGGACGAGAAGGATGAGGAGGAGGAGGAGGAGAAAAGGAAAGGTCTTTTGCCGGAATGGGTGAGTATCACCAAGGAGGACGCCAAGACTGTCTTGGGGGCGCTGGCGATTTCTTTGGCCTTTCGGACGTTCGTAGCCGAGCCGCGGTTCATTCCTTCTCTTTCGATGTACCCCACGTTTAATGTTGGAGATCGCATTGTTGCCGAAAAGGTACTGTTCTTGGCTCCACGGTAAAGATTCAATCTTGATTATCTGTTCTGTTGAAGTTCTTAAAAGGCAATCTCGTAGTGAAATACTTGAGGAGGAAAATGATTTGGTTGTGGGTTTGGTAGCTAACATTTGGAGAAGAATGCTGGATTTGAGTTCTTGATACTGTTGGTATATGCAAAAATGATTGCTGACCCAACTACGGGTACGAGTTAGGGTTAGGTTCTAACTAAGATGGCTTCGGGTTAAAGATTGATGACCTCAATGCAATGTTTTTAAGTATTAGATCTTGCAAAAGCATATATTGATATAAATTGCTCTTGACATTTGCAATAAATGAACTTGGATTGATAGGAAAAGATCACTTACGGATGATCATTTGCCCATCAACTTGCCTAGCCTATATCATGTGCAAACTGGAAATCACGGACATTATTTTGACATGTGCGACCAACTAAATTAACAACAAGAATAATGACAAGAATCAGCTTGAGAATAACAAATAACAGAAAAGTCTATCGTATTCTTAGTAGAATTTGGTGAGAAGTTTTGGTTACCCCTCTCCTCTCCTATTTTATTGGAGAGCCTTTAGAAAGGATCTCTCAGCTTATATTCTAACTAGGGACTGAACTTCCCAGTCTTTTACCAAAAGTAAATAGGTCTTCTTTCCTTCTATAAAACCACAGAGAAGTCGTCTTCCGTCTGAGAGAAAATTGCAAACTCATACCATCCTGGATTGGACTCTTCTGTACTGAATTCTTATGGATCAATGTGTCCAAAGGCTGTACCAAGCTGTCGGAAGCTGAACATGCTGAATCGATCCATATTTGAGCTAGTTTAGAGGTCCAGAAGGATAACTAGGGCTGAATAGGCCTTGACTGTACACTGGGCTTCTGGGAGATGACCTGAAGTCAGGCCACATCGTAACACGTGTAATGTACATGTGATTTGGCTGCTGTATAGAAGACTGGTAAGGTTCTGAAATTATCTCATTTATTGAAAATCCAGTATAAACTTATGGCTAGAAAATATTATTGCTTAACCCATTAGAATTATGGCTTCAGCATTTTTAGGGTTCTGTCATTTTGGTCTTCTTTGTGATCTTATCTTTATCAATAATTACATTGGTGCAACTCAACCAAATTGTTGCTTAGGTGATTTTATCCATTGTTAAATTTTTTTTCAATAATTAAACATTATGAATGCTTACGCATTAAAGATGTCTCCTCTGCATCTGAGATTGTTTGTTTCTAATTAGTATTTTATCCTTTACTAGGTGACATATTACTTCAGAAAACCATGTGTAAATGACATAGTTATCTTCAAAAGTCCACCCGTGTTGCAGGTAAGTAGAGTACCTTTAACTGTGACAATCATTATATGCAAGTTTTTGTGTACATCCTCCTGTACTATAAAATGTTATATGCAGGAAGTGGGATATACGGATGACGATGTATTTATCAAGAGAGTTGTTGCCAAGGAGGGTGATGTTGTAGAAGTGAGTAACTTAATCATGTTTTTTATTTAAATGGACAAATTTTTGGTACAGTGATAGTTGTGCTTAAATGCTATCTGATACTTTACTTTTGGGATAGGAGATACCTTGACAGTGCGAGTTAGAAAGTACACTTATTATGTTTTTTAACTTGTTGACAAACAATAACTTGTATCTCGTAAGAACTGATATATTTGTGCACAATTTATTTGTTTACAAACTGAATACTTGCTTCCCCAGTGTATGATCATGAGTTGTACCAATTTGTAATTTACATGGTGTCAGGCATTGCAGTATGTCATGTTTTAAGCTTAACCTGTGCTCGTTAGCCCTGGGAGATATTTGTCTTCATGCTAAAAAAAAAATTGATATATATATTCAGTTGTTTGTATTCCCCTATAATTTTTTAATACATTATTCTAGTCTCTTTTTATGTAATTCAACAAACTATTGGTTTCTTTTATATCCACCATATATTTTAGTCCTAGCTCCACCATTGCTTCTGGATGTTGTTGTATTTGGTTCTTTAATGAGCAAAGTTTCACAAGTTTGTCTAGAGTAAAGAACTATTAGAAAGTAATATGAAAGTTTTAGGTATTTCTGATAGCTTTTAACAGGTTCGATGAAAAGATGACAAGTCTTTGAAAGTGGAAACTGGTCATACGAGCTCCATTTAGCTGACTGACCCGGTGGTGTATTAATGTTTAACGAGTGAACATATTGATCAAACTTTTCCCCTAGTGAACATGTTGAATTATAATATTTTAGGTCCGGTCAAAGCAGACTGCATTAAGCAAACAGGTGTCTGAAATGTTCAGTCAGGAAGAAGTTTGTTATGTCTTTTCATTGGAAGCTTTCTTTTCCATGTATCCAGAAAAAATGATTATTGGTTTTGCCCATTACCTTGCAGGTTCATGATGGCAAATTAGTAGTAAATGGCACAGTAAGAGATGAAGATTTTATTCTTGAGCCACCATCTTATGAGATGAGCCCAGTTGTAAGGATTTTGTCAATTGCTTTTATGTCTTCCTAATCAATATGTGAGAAATGTGTGGTAAATTTTATTTTTATAGGTCCCAAAAGAAGACTACAGCATGAATTTATGCTTTCTTCACAAATTATACTGGAATCTTTCTTGGGCAAGCATCCAATGCAATTCAGAGAGCAGACATGCTGTAACATAAATTGGCAACCTTTAGTGGGCAAGATTATATTCTGTTCTCGTTCACCTTTGAGATATACTTTTGGTGTGGTTACATATAAAAATCTGTAATTTCACCTGGTCAAGGAATCATTCATCCTGTAGTTCCATCAAGCAACCGAGTGGTTCTGCTCGAGTCACCCTAACCATACATCTGATTCCTCGCAATTTTTTTTGCTACTATCAAGAACTCTGCCCATTCTATGCATTATGTTCTGCTTAGGAATTGTTTTTCCAACTGCCTTACTCCACGGTGCTTTATTTCACTTTTTGTGATTTCTTCAGTATTTACATATTGTTTCTTAACAGTCATTGTGTTGTTCTACTGCAGCAAGTGCCTGAAAGCTCTGTATTTGTCATGGGCGATAATCGCAACAACAGTTACGACTCTCACATATGGTAATCTTTTTCACTATCACAATCTCTCTTTTAGTCGGTAACCTATATATTTCTTGGAAGCATCAATCAAGTGCACTTGCTTTATAATTTAATCTGTTCTCCAGGGGTCCGCTTCCCGCAAAGAACATAATTGGCAGATCAGTGTTCCGGTACTGGCCACCTGCGAGAGTTGGGGGCACAATTTCCAGTGAGAGTTGTGAAAATGTGAAGCCTAATAGCAGTTTAGTGACACAAAATGCCAAGTAGAAGGCAGATGTAACTGCTGCAGTTGGATTATGATTTCTACAAGATTCTTATGTGCTCATTCTATGTAACCCACACCAAACGTGGTGTCTGCGAGGCACAGAAACCAATTTTTCCTGTAGGTTTCCTCTGTTGTTGCCTCCTTGTAGACTACACAATTCATATAATGTTGGTAGTTGTACATGCAAAGGATTCTATGATCATTTATATGGAACTCCGTCTCAGGAACTCCTCCAAGAAGACAAGTCTTCTTCCTGGATATGGAAAACAGGGGTGACTTTGAGTTAGCATTATTTCATGAATGCAATTATGAGAGAGAAATAATAGTTCTTTTAAAGTTTCGACTCCATTATTTACTCCTTTGTGAAAATAAATTCGATATGATTTTGATAAGCAATTTTTTTTTAAGATGAGATCATAATTAACTATGAATCAATTCTAATAAACCCGAACATAAGCTCGACGATGATCGCCTAGGGGCATAGCCAAGCAGCAAAACATAGCATTGTTGTAGTCAATCATTTTGTTGTTCTCGTTGCTGAGTTCAAGGACGATACTCTTTGCTCGGCAAAGGCCCACACAACCTACTATGAGCGACACCATCGTCCTTAATGTCATTGGCCAAGCCCTTGGAGCTTATCAAGATCGTCATCCACATTATCAATTAGAGTTGCATAAGTAAGGACAAGGGAGATGAGCTACGATTTTCCTCGACCTCGATCACCAAGACGAAAATCATTTTGTTGTTCTCGTTGCTTAGTTTAGGGACAATAATCTTTGCTCGGCAAAGGCCCACATGACCTACTATGAGCAACACCATCGTCCTCAATGTCATTGGCCAAGCCCTTGGAGCTTATCAAGATCGTCATCCACATAATCAATTAGAGTTGCATAAGTAAGAACAAGGGAGATGAGCTACGATGTTCCTCGAACTCGATCACCAAAATCATTTTGTTGTTCTCGTTGCTTAGTTTAAGGACGATAATCTTTGCTCGGCAAAGGCCCACACAACCTACTATGAGCGACACCATCGTCCTCAATGTCATTGGCCAAGCCCTTGGAGCTCATCAAGATCGTTATCCGCATCGTCAATCAAAGTTGCATAAGCAAGAACGAGGGAGATGAGCTACGGTGTTCTTCGAGCTCGATCACCAAGACGAAAATTTGAAGGGAGTTTGGAAGGAAAGATGCAATCTTGACAGGGTTTTCAGATCAGGAGATGAGATTTCAGATGCAAATATGAGACAACAAATATGAAAAGCATGAATCATAGAACACAAATAGCTCACTGTGCCATACTGCTGTCAGTCAATCATAGACATTTGAGTTGAAAGATGCTGCACCAAAATCCTGCCATTTTGTTGTTTTAATGATACAAGGATAGGCTTACAATGAGCATAAACCAAGACATTTCTAGCAAACTCTAACCAAATACCACTACTGCTTCTATCACAAACTAAATCACACTCACTGACATGGAAATGAAACACGTTATGTTCCCTATTACATGTAACCAAATAGCCAAGCACTAAATCTAGAAGTCACTCATAGGAACATGCATTCTGGGAGAACCTTATAGGTTTGGTATTACTAGAATCAACAACTAATGGGCATGAGACGTGCTTTCGGTGCTTCACTTTCACCAGCTTTCCTATCACATATCCCCGAGAGATGATCTCCAGGTCCAGAGTTAATGGTACTGCACCGCCGGCGCTCGACAGAGCCAAGCCTGCCCCGGCACCATATAGAGGAACCTTCTCGCCATGCAGGATGAGAGAAAGTGTTCGACGGCTCTTTCTAGGCTGGTAATATTTCTTCAGCTGCAATCACACATTAAAAGATCACTCAATATTTTCTCCAAGCAAGCGAAAACACAAAAAAAAAAGAAAAAAAGCTGCAAAGGTAACTTGTATTTGTTTTGGAGGGCCATTTTTCCTTATGAAGACCAAGAACATGAAACCAGTACATCAGAAAACCAATCAGCCTTCAGTGAATTCAAAAGAAAAATAAAAAAAATGATAATTTGCACTTGCAACCAGTGCAGGATAATGATAAATGCGACCACACAGGTGAACCCAAAAAATCAAGGCATTTTGCACAATCATTAGCTGCGTATATGCATCTTTAGGAATGTGAAAAAGCCATAACCATCTCTGTCCATTGACAGGTTCACAATTTTGAGTTTACCTGAATGGTCAGCACAAAGCTAATACATGCAGCCAAAAAAGTTTATTCATGCAACATAAAATGTTATTAGATACGGAAAGAAAGCAACTATGATATCAATATGATGGAATGAATACATATAAAAAAGATTATGGTCGTTTTGACAGAATTCTTTCATTCAAAAGATGGCCCAGTTTCAGAAACTCCCACCAATGCAGGTGTAAGTAGGCTTGATATCCCTACAAGTTCAGTAGTTTGTTTCCACAACTTAACTTTCAATCACTTAAATCGAAAAAGAAGCAACTTATCCACGATATCAAAGTCGATCCTCAATTATTTAAACAACATAAGTTCCAGAATAGCAGTCTTATGATTGTTCCTAACAGAACTTGTGAAGCTGTGTATTTTTCTAGTTTCAGTACACTTTAAATTATTGTCATGGATTTCCAAGTACTAAATAAATATGAACTGTGCCTGGAAGTCTCTAGTGGATTTCAAGACAACTGAGAATTCTGATCAAAAGCCAGCCAAGTCAGACAAGTATTACAAGTGCTCCTAAGTAATATGTAATTGCATAATTTTATGGACTTTTACCAAGCTGATCTTGGACATGTTACAGCCGACAAGAAAATAAGTTGCTTTTGTGAAAATATTAATTATTATGAGTTTTAAAACTTTGTATCTTGAATCATTGTATTCCACTTTGCAAACTGAACGGGAATGGCTTAGCATACTGATAGGAAAACAACAGAAAATAATGAAGAGTTACCTCGCCTGTTGCAATTGTAATTTCTGAAAAGATGAGGTTAATAGAGCTTGATGTAACGTGGATGCCAAACATTGATGCAGGGTTGTAGATGCTTATCTTCAGCGAACAATTCACGGTCACCATCTTAGTGGGCACACCAGTAGTATCCGAACCTTCTCCAGCATAAAAGTCATCCATTGCCAGGCTCTGCCACCAAGAACAAAGAAGTCAAAGGAAATATTTCACCATGCAGAAAGCTCAAAGGAATAACTGCAAACAAAGGTTACATATAGATAAAAACTGTTATTCAAATTTACTATGAGAAGACATTTATATACATGCATCAGAATGACCAATACAGTTCTTTAAACAAGTCATGCGTGAAAACAAAGAGGCAAAAGTTTCTTGGATATAAGGGAATTAGCAAAGAACACAGTTCCCTTGCTGATATAAAATATATATGAAAGAAACAATCTCGCAGGTTAAAATCAAATAACAGTAGAAACATCTGAACCTTCGTCTCTATAACAGATAGCAAAGGTTGATGTCTAGAGGCAAAGACTACAATGAAATATCCAACTCTTACGACAATGTGGAGTACAACCTGCAGCCATAGTGAGAAGCCACTCAGCCACAAGAGATAGCCATCCCCATCCATAACATTCTTTCCTTCATCAGCAGAAAGCTTTACATTTCCAATTTCTTATCTGGATGCAATCAATACCAATATACTGTCCAAAATAGGCTATTACAAGATGAAGCCCATGCCAAAACCTTTTACAATATAGGCAAACTTCTTGTGTGATACCTGCCGTATCATCCGTGCAAAACTCTATCATACATAGCAACCATTACCTTCAGCTGAATTCCGAGTGGACTCGTCTGACATAACTAACATCCACAAGAAGCTGAAACAAAGAATAACCTACCACATGTAACTAAGACTAAGACAAGCAATCTCAGAACAGACGGTTACCAAATTATGCTGATCTTAAGGAAATCCAGAATTCAGTTGGCTTAGCAATAAATATGACTGGTCCAACCAGAACCCAGTAGTTGAAGCACCAAGCCGTCTCAAGCATATTGTTGTTGCCTAATCTTCCATGAAATTCTCAAGCACTCTGTTGCATCTACAGACCGCTTTCAACTCAGAGATCAACCGATGACTGGTATGAAAAGACAACAAACTCCCAGACAGTATTTATAAAAAATGCAACCATATGAGACCTAGGAAAAGATTATTGGTTTCTCAAAAACTATGCTTATAATCATCCATCAATCACATAATGTCTTAACTATATTCACTGATTCTCTTGCTAAACTTGAACAAACACATAAAAATATAGTATAATCAAGAAAAATGACCTTAATCTGTCTCTTTCCAAGAACTAAGGATGATCGTAGAATCACCATAAACAGCAGCTCGAAATTAACTTGTGTCTGCTCTAAGATACAGAAGACAAATTGACATTTAATAGTAGTTATGTATTTTTATACTTACGTGTCGGATGATGATTAGCCGACAATGTTTTCCCTATCAATAGTACACCGTGATCGATAAAGTTAAAGCTACGGATACTTTGATCAATAAAATATTTGTTGAATTCCCTTGGGAGAAGTAAATTCAACCAAGAAGAGCCAATGTTAATCGAGCTATACCTTCACCACAACCTTTGCTTTGTATGGTCGTGCCGCCCCCCATATGATAAGAGAGAAGACCGTGAAGAGCAGAACAAAGCTGAGGAGAGCAAGAATGATCTGGCAACGCCGAGACAACCCCCTGTCCTCATCGAGATCATCATAAGACCCTTCTTCCTGGATCACATTGCACTCAGGCCAACCCTTGTCATTCACCCTCTTCCTGTTTCCCTTCCGGCCCGACGATGACCGGAAAGGCCCCGAGAACCGGCTGGCCGAGGAGGTCCTGGAGTGGCGTCCGAAGGAAGGGTGGGAGGGTGACTCCATGGGGCTGTTGTAAACTGGGGTAGCCTGCATCGACGACGACTTGTCGCCATCGTGCGAGTCCCTCGACGGGCTCTGCACGTAGTAGACCGCCCTCTTGGGGGATCGAGGAGGCGACGAGGCGGCTAGGCTGGTCACATCTGAGTCAGACTTGTTGTGCATCATCTCTAACTTCTACGAACTACTCTCGCAGATTCACAGAGACGCGGCAATTCTTGCAGAGAAATCGGATCGAATTAGTCCCCAATATTTCAAAGATTAGAACTTTCAGCAAAAACCGTTAATTAAATGAAAAAATGGGTGACAGAAATCGAATCGGAGAAGGAAAGCAGAGTCTTTAACAAAGACAAATAAGCGAGAGCGCGTAAAATCTAATCACACAGACAAAAACCTTTGGGACTGTTCTTCCTTCTCTTTCCAGAACCAAAATTGCCATCTGGAAAGAGCTAATTTCAAGCAAATTCTTGCTTATTAAACGATAACAAATTACTCCGAGAAAATCTCAGCAATTAGAGTCTCGACTTAAGCACGTCAAATGCGCCAAAACCGCTGAAAATTATCGTCGAGATAAAACCGAACTAAGATCCACAAACCATCAATTAATCTCTTCCGCACTCTTCATTCACATCAAGATCCACAAAAAGCCATCACACCTCTAACTTCCACGCTGAAAAACCCAAAGAAACGAGAATAGAAAGAGCAGGAAAGCGGGATTCGAGTTCAATTTCCTCGTCTGGATATCCTTAACCCACATGATTTTGCAGAAAGTTTCGAGCTTTACTTGGGAACCACAGCCGCTTCGGAAGAGCGAAAAGCCACGCCGAGCGCAGAAGGGCGCCTCCTTCCCTCTCCCACCATAGAGAGAATTAACCGACGAGAGAGAGAAAGAGAGAGGACACGGGCGCTTCAGAGATCTCCTGTATAACCCAAAGCAGCCAAACTAATCAGAGATATTGCGAAGCTTGATCGGGTCCCACTTTTCCCTCCGTTGAGAACTCGACATATCAGCACACTAAGTGTTTGCTGATTGAAACAAAATAGGGGATCAAAATAAAATGGTGACCGCCAAGATTCTGCAGGCTGGGAATGAGAAGTGTCGGCAGGAAATCTATGCAATCGATTTCCTTTTTACTTATATTCTCTTCACATTATTCTAATCACATTATTTATATGTCATACCAAAGCAGTGTTGGTGTTTCTTGGGAAGGCATCCATGTAAAGCAGTGAGATGAGGGTAAGTATGGCTCACATTAGGTGTCTATCTTTCATGGGAATCTTGTATTTATGTGAAGCCACCCACTCACCCTATTGCATTCATTATACAGTTCATATATTACCTTCACCGACCTTTATTGAGTTAGCTTGATGATCCATACCACTTGCACCACATATTGAATTGGGGAGGTGAGCTACTGTGTCGCAATTAGTGTCCCTCGATGCCACTTGTAGCACATATTGAATTGGGGAAGTGAGCTACTGTGTCACTCATGCGGAGGCTTGGTTTGGTTCATCAGCAATATTTTAGGGTACTCATCCAAAGAAGTGGAGAAAGAAATGGCAGTAGGAGGAATATTTTAGGGTACTCAACATGATCATCAGTGATATTTTTCTTTTGTAACTGTCGGAGAATCTTATCTTGTTGCTGAGGTGTCAATATGGTTTGGTTCGATCCTAAGTGTGTAGAGTCACCCATACAAAGGCTTGAACAGAATTGGTCGACGTCGATCGGGTTGAAGCTTCGTCACTTAAGTGTGGTCTCACCCTCGACGGGTTGCTGCTTCTTCTCCGTGGAATCCCTACACAAAAGCCAAAGCCGAGAGAGGGATTGTCCGACTCGATCCCTTAGAAGCTTAAGTCAATATTGAGTGGAGTTAAGTAGAGTTGAAGTGTTTGAGGTCCTCCCGTTGATGCCGATCATGGGGTCAGCTTTTATACCCACGAACGAAGATCGATCATACATGGTTTATTAATGACGATCAAATCCTCGGACGACCGGCTTGTACCTCCCGTGTGAGTGCCGATCGACTTGCACGGATCTGTGTCGTATGGCGCTGTTCTGAACTTTTCGAAGCGGCTTTGTACTTTGCAACGATGTCTTGTACGATACCGAAGATATTATGTCGACATAGTATACCACGTCAACCTCAAGCTTCCTCATTGTCACCGACATAACTGCTAACTTTTGCCACATGGATGATACCTAAGTATATAAACCATATCAATAACATAATTATAAAAATCAAAAGAGGCAAAGATATATATTAGGTTCGACTTGCACACTCTAAGTTCTTCGTCATCATAGTCAATATCGACAATTGAATTTATCAATTGATATGATGATTAAATTAATAAATATTAACATATTATTTAATAAATATTATTAAAAATTAATTTGAGTATTTCTAATTTAAATATTATAAAAAATAAAAAAAATTAATAAAAATTTAATAATTAAATTGAGCATTTCTATTTAAAATTAATTTATTCCATGATTAAAGTTGATCAAAATATAATATAATCACATCAAATAATGACTTTAATCAAGATCGAAAGCATGCACTTGATTTAAATTAGATATGTGTCTGTCCTGAGATATGATTGGTTAGTGTCTTGTTGCATAAATAATAAATTTTATTTTCGAGTCTATATATACTTTTTTATTATAAACATTATAGTATGAATGCTATGAAACATTTTCAAGGACAATTGCAATATTTATAAAAATGTATAGGACATATATGTAAAATTGTATCTAGAAGAATGTATATGAAAGGCCGCTTTAGCCCACCACCGGCCATAATAACATTAATCTTTTCCTTTCCCCCCCAATTCTCGTCCACTACGGTTGGTATCGACATCATATTATTTCTTGCGCCGTCGCGTTGGATCGATCGGATCAATCGATAGCGAAGAACAAATTCCCCTCAAATTCCGCCTCATCCGTTCGCCTCCAAGAAACCCTAATCTCGCATCGATTCCGATACCGTGTCAGAATTCGATTCGTCGTCGGAGCATCGGAAGGTAATAAATTCCTGTTTTCGGGCATCCGGAAACCCTAGATTTCGCTCTGTCGTTGACGTTTCTGCGTCGATTTTAGACAGCCGCGCCCGGAGCCCTAGGTTCCGCGACTGCCGGGTTGGTTTTTGCGGTGAGGAAGGTCGAGGCGGAGATGGTTTTCTACTTCAAGGCCCTGCCGGAGGCGGGCGATTACACCATCTTCATGGGGTTGGACAAGCACGAGAATGAGGAGCTCATCAAGTATGGGTTCCCGGAAGACATCTGGTAATTGCCCTTGCAGATAAGTTGGTTCGATCGACTCCTTGTATTTCTGTTTCTCTTCTTATTGCCGTAACTTGTTTGTTGCTGGTCGGGGAAGACAATTATCGAGGATTTTTGTCTGCCCAGTCGCTCAAGTTACTATCCAAGAATTGATCCTGTAATCTTGATCTTAACTTTTGGAGCTTTTGATGATGACAATGTTTTGTGAGGGAAATCGAGCGAGACGTATCATCTCCTGGAGGCATTGCAATAACCTGTTCGCCCGATCTTATGTCATATTTGAAGAAGAAAATTCCTCACATGTTGTTATATTGATAGTCTCTAAATGTCATTTGATGGATGCAATTTATTTTTGTGTGTCTTCTAAGAGAAGTTTGCACCAGATATTAGTAGTGCTGAATAGACTTTGATTTTGTGGAGAGTGTCAAGATCATTGTAGGAATATATTGGTTTTATTGGTGCCACCTGGAACTAGGGATTCGACGACCTGACAATGGTCTTGAACATATTATATCTTAATGATTCTGCCTATTGTTTCTATTTTCTGAATAGACGTGTGAAGCCTTGCGAAAGCAAGGCTGCTTCATGTTGCCAAGTTTCTAGCATATTCTCAATTTTTTCTTTTACTTTCATACAATATGTTTATCATCTTGGTTTGCTTTTGGTTAAATTGTTTCAGAATCTTCCATCATTTTCCTCTTTTTGTTGGGAACGAGACTTCATCGAACATTCTTGACTACATATAACTTCGTTGATTTTGCTGGCCTCAATATTCACCCATATCAATCTTCTGGCTCTGCTAGGTTTCATGTGGACAAAATGTCCTCTGCGCATGTTTATTTAAGATTGAACAAGGGTCAAACTATTGATGATATAAATGAAGGTTTGTTGGAAGACTGTGCTCAGCTCGTCAAAGCTAATTCAATTCAAGGTAAAAACTTCTGTATCTTGTTTATGTTTTTCATAACACTTCTGTGTTATTCCATCTCAATACCTTTTTTTTCTTCAATTAGATTTTCTGACCTTCTGCTTTCAGCAATGTCAATATGAATTTTGTTTTGTATCGCTGTTGTATGTCTCTGCAGGCAATAAGGTAAACAATGTGGATGTTGTTTATACTCCATGGTTTAATTTGAAGAAGACCCCTTCTATGGATGTCGGTCAAGTTGGTTTCCACAATCCTAAGATGGTAACATATTGTCTTCTGTATATTTACTCATTTTGTATTAGCATCTTTTCACAATATGTATGCTATAATTATGAACTGCTTGGAGAAGTAACTTGCTAAGAACTGCATGATTTTTCTTTTTTTCCGATCAACAAACGAAGTTTTATCGGAAAGCATGTAAAAGGAGTTGCATGGACAAAGACATTATTGTTACTTAAGTTTCCATTTTCTTTTTTGATATCTTTTTAATGCATAGTTTTCCTGCACATTTTGGTCACCATCTTAAATAGTTACTTTTTGCATGTTATGATTACCCCATTTAGCTTGTGATGATTATTACAAAGTCTGATGTAGTGGTCGGTTGCCGTAAAGGACTTCACCGAGTTGTATTACCCAGCAGGATTTTTACAATTATCTGGAAGCCTAGGATACACATTAAAATATCTAGACTTATTGTTCCTGATATGCCTTAATCCTTTGAGCACAATGTATGCAGTATTTTAGATCATTCAATATTGATTTCTTGTTAGTTGTGCAGTTGTTGCTTTTGGTACTAGATTTACTTTCTGTTGGTGCACTGCTTGCTGAAAGTTAGTGTTCTTTTGTTCTTTTTTCTTATGTTCTAAAAATCTTATTATATTACCTGGATTCTGGAGAAGGTTACATGGTAATGGTTACGACCACACCTATTCATTACTGTTGCTTACAAAATGTCGCCTTGCTCAACATTCACTTTATCTTAATCCTTTGTTTGTTCAAACTCTTCCTAATTGATCATGTTTATTGTGACAGGTACGGACTGTGAAGGTAGAAAAGCGCATAAATGAGATTGTTAACAGGTTGAACAAGACCAAAGTGGAGAGGAAGCCAGACTTGAAAGGTAAGATCTTGCAATTTCTTTGACTCTGTAGAGACGCGGAAGCAATATATACTTTAGTGATTTAATGATAAGGTGAAAGACAGTAGTTTATGTGAGAAGCTCCATGAATATTGGGCAAAAGCATGCCGTCTGGATTTTCTCTTTTAAACACGTTACTATGGTATTTGTGTCCAATAATATACATAGACCTAAGCTTTCCATAAAAAATTCCATGTGGGAGCTCTTCATATCTTCTTGTTCTCTCTTTTGGCATTACCATGAAGGTGATGTATGCATTGATATTGTACATATGCCCTAACTCCAGAAGTTTTCCTGCTTATTGTTTCTTATAGGTTAAGTGTTTAACAAGCTTAGTGTATGTGTTAGTCTCAAATTTAGGTGGTCAAGATATCAGAAATGCATATATGCAATTGTGCTAAAATTTAAAATCATGACTTTCTAGTATTCTTCCGCATACAAGAGTAGAGATGCATGAATGGTTTTTTTAGGTGTTTTTCAAAAGCAAGCGGCAGAAAGCATTGTGTAATTGATATCATAATCTGATGAAGTGAGGATTTCTGCATCATTATTTGTTGTCTAGAACAAGTTAAATCCACACTGAGGTTTCTATGTTTTTCATCTAAAATTTTGTGTGATCTGAGATTTCACATGCTCTTGTGTGCAGTCAAATTGCTCACTGTTATTCTACTGAAAGCATGATAGTTTTATTAATTCTCTTTATCCGCAGCTGAGAGAGAAGCTGTCAACGCAGTAGAAAGAGCAGAAAGGAAAGCCCAGTTAAGAGATAAAGTAAGTCCCTTGTTTCCCTTTCGAATACAATGAGGTTGTTGAGCAAATCTGGACACCCAAGGTTCAGAAAAGATAAAAAATATATTCAACAAGATTGGATTGAGTCTCCTCGGACCGTATCATTTACTGTTTTTGATTATCAACTTGGCGTTTAGTTTCATGGCATTATCATTTCCATCACTAATTTGCATTCTCCTTTCCTTTGACAAAATAAAGTATCACTGAATGTCGTGAAATGGCTGGAGATTTTGTTGCTAATCTGAAATGTGCAGCATTCTCCCTAGTCTGTCCTCAGATGGGTCCCTGCTTTTACAGGAAAAACTGAACTCATAAGTAAGTTTGGAGTGGGGTAAACTGTTATTACCAAAAGCCTTGGTTTTAATGGTCTTGCAGAAAAAGAGGGAAGAATTGGAGAGGCTGGAGAAGGAGAAACAGTCAGAGATACGGAGCTACAAGAGCCTGATGGTCTCAGAGAAGATGACATCCAACAAACAAATTGCATCTGCTAATAAATCCTTGCAAGAACTCGAAGACGACTTCATGTGATCATCGCACAAGTCGATTGATGGTTGGTGATGAAGTTCAAGGTTTCAAGTATCTGCTTGATCACCATGGAAAGATGGACGGATTCACTGCAGGATCCTCATTCGATCACAAATGATGCTCTGGTTTGTCATTTCGTTGTGCTTCCAGTGTAGACCATAATGTGTGTGATATGGACACAAGGAATGTGACTATTTAATCAGTTGTCGACATCTATTTTCCGTGATATGAATGTCATGTACTGCAATCTAATCTCAGTTTGTCTCTTAATTCATTGTTCGGTTTTTTCAACCCTCTTAGGGTTTCTCATCTTACTCTTATGTGAAATACTGCGTCTTTGGCCTGTATTCAGAAAATGTTAATTGCTTGCTGCACCAGAGCACAATGTGGCATGACTTGAAGCATATGATTTCAACTATGCTTCGTACAAAGTCACCTGCAGCCTCAAGACATGACAGAAAATGTTCCATATCACAAATTTCTTGATTCTTCTTCATACAAACAGCATGTTTTTGTCATCCTGAGAAGAGAATAATAAAGACGTCGAAATATTATGAAAAAAACAGATAATTTGAGTATTCCAGAAGACATTATCTGCATTGTCCCTGTACCAACTCCAGTGCAGACTCCTGAATCAGGCTAGACAAGATTTGCTTGCCGAGTTCTTCGGCAACTTGGTCGGCCTCTTCCGGGCAAATCCTATTGTCCCAGCCAATATCCCAAACAGAATTTATGGCTGGGTCCTTGCAGGTTAACTCCCTCTCCAACCTGATGTAGAGACTGTCTTCAGAAGCAGCAACGCTGTCCAGCTTGCTGTAACTGCTCAGTTTTCTGATCCTGTCTATAATTTCCTCCACCAATTTATCGATGGAAAGGTATGTTAGTCTACTCCATGATTTGGCTTGCATCAAGGGATGGCCCAGATGATGCTTCTGTTGGTGGTATTTCCGTGTCATTAGCTCCTCCGAAATGTCCAGCAATAGCTTCGAGTCGCATTTTCCAACCTCATCTGCGCTTTCGCTCCGATGGTGTACGGGTTCTGTAGCATCAACATTGAAGAACTGTTTTGCACAGCCTACAAATGATCTGCTGCTGAGAAAAACATTCTTGAGTTCATCGTCTGTGCCAGCTGCGGCTGCATCGACTTTATTGCAATCAGGAAGCTGAACTGCTTCCGTCAATCTGTAGTCTTTTCCGTCCTGGTTGTTCTTCGATGTCGCTTCACAAAATATATTATGATCCTTGTTCACATTATCTGCACTCGGACGAAGCACACTATGTAAGATTATCATTCCAATTTTGTGTGGTCTTGTGGAGATTTAAGCTCCATGTCAATGTGAAAATCATGGTCACGACAGAATAAATGGATTTATAATTAATTTCAGCCAACATAGTTGGGGAATGCCAACCTGGATCAAAGGGTTTGGTGTCCTGCCCTGCCTGTTTGAACTCGTCATCACCATGAGAAGTGCCAGTTACTTCTGGAACATCATTCGTCTTATTAGATCTGATTGATTTGCCATTTTCTTTGCGTTTTTTGCCATCATCCTGCAGACATGATCTGATTTCAGAAGAGAAGATTTGCTACATAACCAGTATTTGGATAGTTCTACTACTATGTTGAGATAATATCTCAAATTTAACCTATACAACAAGACATTTTATTTTAATGTCTCAAGATGTCAGATAGTTCTACTGCTATGTTGAGATAATATCTCGAATTTAACCTATACAACACGACATTTTATTTTAATGTCTCAAGATGTCAAACGTAAGCATTCATCAAATGAAGTTCCTACATATGCTAGTGGAGACATACCACAGATTCGGCAATTGCAGACTTTCTAATCGGTTTTGCTCCAGACCTATTCCTATTCTTTGAACAATCAATGGGCGCTTTCGATATGGGTCTCAAAGGAGACTTCAAATCCTGATTTTGAGTTGCAGTTACATGTGCTGAAGCCTTAGTCCTTGCTACGGGTAGTTCTTTGTTAGGCTTTTCCTGCACTGCAGAAATCTTGGGATGAGATATCGGTATCCTTGTTGCCTTGACTCTCTTCTCTTCTTGTTTCTTCACATTTAATCTTGATGGTTTCTCCTCCCCAGTGTTCTTTTTCTGAACCGTAACAGCCTTCTTTTGTTGTTTGTGGAACAGAGAAGAGGGAGTCTCATAATAAGGTAATGGCTCAGTAACATCCATCTCCATATGCTTCACTTCTTTTGCTTCCAATGTCTTTGCTAACACATGTTTATGATACGAACTATTCTCCCGAACCAGTTTAACTGCTTGGATCCTGTCCTGCATCGAGGTCTTATCCCTATCAAGCCCCTTCTCGACATCACTCTCCTGGTAGCGCAAATGCAAAGACTTCATGATCACAATCGGTGGCAATTGTTCAACATTATGTAGATTTCTCCTGCATTGTTTGGGATCTGTGGCACCAAAGAAAGGCATCTCGAGTCCATTTTCTTCAACTTGGCTTTGCTTCAAACGCCTTTCGAAATGCATAGTCTCAATGAGTTCATCTAGTTCGTGTTGTTTTTGGCATTTATCTTGTGCCAAATATGGCATCTCCCTTGCTTTAGGCATCTCTACATCAAACCCAGGCCTCCGAGAGTTCACGCAGTTCTTCTTTTCCTCTTTTTTGCTAGGTTGAACAATTTCCGGACGGGCTTGTTCCAGACCCATGAGCTTGGCAATCAAGTTTGAAGATCTAGCCTTCCTTGGATTATCAGTGGAACAAATCGACGTAACTGGCACTGTGCTCTTCGCAAGGTGCTTATCCTCAAAATGATTAATTGTACCATACCTCATCGATCTGCTCGAGGAGTTCTTCTCGTCATCAGAAGAGGACGACAGTATATTTGTCTTGTGAAGGCTTTCTTTTATGACTTGTTTCAGCTCTTCGACACAATCCCTTGAGAAGTCGTCAGCTGAGCTTCGCGATTCATGCAACCTGTTCTGGTAATTACTGACTGCAAATCTTTGAGATCCCAGTTCTCGTTCACAAATCTCTTCAACTTGCTTTTGCTTACTGTTGATTCTAGGCATCTTCCTTGATGCATCCTGGCACTTTTTGAGCATGTCCAGTGACTCCTGAAGACCTAATGCACCTCTAAGAAGATCATCCGCGAAAAATTGTGATCTACTGTCGATTTTCGCAGAGTTCGACCACGAATCAATCACCTGAGCCAGTCTGTGAGCTTCTCTAGACACCTGCAAGAGCTGAAAGTCATTGCTGTTTCTGTAAGCCACGGCTTGTTCTTCTTCTCTACCCTTGGACGAAGTCGGATCTTGGCCGGAGTGACTTCTTCCAGATGTAAACTCCATTGCAGAACCAGTTTTGGGCTTCCCAATTGCCCTAGACTGGACTGCTTCGTGGCCATCAGCCGAGGGTAATTGTAGAGGCTTGGTTAATGATCTACGAATAGCTGATTTTAGACTGTCCTGATACATTATCTATGAACAGAAACACAAGATCGACAGGGTCAGAGCTCCCCAGGCAAAATTTCTTGTTCTAGAAAGGGAAACTAGCATACCCTAGATCTTGCAGCTACTCCCAAATCTTTAAGCTGCTTGTCAAAAACATCTGATTTCGAACAAGAACAAGAGGAATCATAAGAACCTCACACCTACAAGATTCTGGGAGACAGATAATACCACAAAAATTGATCCACAACTGATGAATGAGAACAGATCTCAAGAACTGCTTACAAGAGAATTAAGGGAGGTAGGGGGGGGAATGAATGTACCTCAAAGAAACTGGAGATTTAGCTCATGCTGCTGCCTCCCATTCCATGGGTGATCTGAGGAACCACCCCAGATCTGTGCCAGCTAGCTTCACATGCTGTTCTTTCTTGGTGCCATGGACTTGGCTTTAAGTTTCTGATGTAGAGAGGTGCTGCTGCTTTTGACACTCTGCTTCATTTACTTTGGTTTAATATCTTCTGCTTCTGTCAGCTTTTGGGAAATAACAGCAGTCAAACTGAGTACATGTGAAGGACATGGATGGGGTAAGGTTGACTGAGAATTTAGGAAGCAAGCAAGCAAGACAAATCCATTTGGAAAGACCAAACACCCCATCAACAAAATAATTATAACAACAATAATTGAAAGTTGAAGGAGATTGGAGCACATCTGAGCAACAGTGACAGGATATGCTCTCTTCTGCATCTGCATGTTGATCCACCTACTGCTGCTTGTCATGGCCACAACATGTGGAATAATCCATCCTGTGTCATGGATGCTTTGACCATGGGTTAATCAAGAATCTCCTTGAGTTAGCAATGTCATTACTAGATCACATCACAGGAGAACAGATTTTGGATATCATTGGAGGCTTTGAACCTTGAGGTAGGTAGGCATGTTAGGGCATCTCTAGGATGGTGCTGCCATTGAGCTCTGCATCAATTCCAGCACCAAATATGAATCTTTCATATTGAGATCTGACTTCAAAGATCCTTAGAATTTAAACTCATTGATTTGATAGTATAAAATATTTATAGCAATATATGAATCGATATACTCGAAATATTTAGGTTTTTTGTTGGTCGCACCGATTGGTACCGAATCCAATATAGATTGCAGCTAGCAATCAATGATTAGGTTCATCTCCAAAGGACTGTTCCACCAAGTTATTGAGGTCACCTTGATCATGAGATCAGAGAAGGCACTTTCAAGTAAAGCAAACATGTGAGTTGATGCCTAAACTTGATCACAAGCATCCCATGCCACACTACCTGACATCTCACATTTTGCATGTGAAACCATTCATGAGGAACCAAACTTCCCCTCTCTCCCTCTTTAGGTGTCTCACAAGGAAGGAACTTTGAGTTGTCAGAGAACAGTGAGAGAGCACATAACCTGTTCTACAATATGCCAAATCAAGATTCAACTTTCTTATCTGACCTCCTCCAAGATTGATCATGTCATAGCTTGTCACCACTGTGAACTCAAGCATTACTCTTCTGCATCTCCCTCCAACATGCATCTGAACTGTTGACTTTGGTTGATACTAGCAACCAAACAAAATGATTATTGATAGCTCAGAAAACCTAAAGATTTATCCAATCAAGCCAAATATTATTGATGACCATAGCGATACTTCAACAGCAATGGATGAGGATGAAAACAGACGAAGATCATAACCCAATCAATAAGACGAAGCTAAAGAGATAGAAACTCATCAAGACGATATGATGAGACAGTCGTATAGATGTAAAATGAAATATCATTTCTTAGGAAATAAAAGACGAAATTTTTTTTTTCTCCGAATTTGCCTTATATATATATATATATATATATATATATGTTAATATTGGACAAATAAATCACCATGCCACGATGATATCAGTGCGGCTTCATCACGACCGTTCACTTGCTGGGTCGGACAGTGAGTCTGGATTGATCAAGATTACCCGGTACTCCGATTACCCGCTGTCGGTCGCCGACTCGTGGCCGTGGGTCCCGCTGGGGCCCGGTTGGTTAGTCATTCAACAAGGAAGGTAGCCGAGTCGGTACACGTACAAACCAGAAGCCGGTGGACCGCCCATGACTTGACCGACGATACCCGGTGGACGACCGTTGGGATTCAAAATCGCGGAAGCGGGTACGAGAGACTCCTCTAAATCGACGGAGGAGATCTTGTCCCGTGTTCCTCTCTCTGAATCTAGTCCCTCCGATCTCCCGGGGTTCGGTCGAAACCGCTCGCTTGATAAGGAACGGAACAACCCGAAAGGAAAACACCATTACAAGAACTGAAGAGAGGAAGCTGGTGGGGATCTGACGCAGGTGCGTCGTCGCTCCATCGAGTCGTCGGATTCTTACCGCTTCTGTTCCGTCGGAGAGGTGAGTATTTGGCTTCGGAGCGGCCGTTCTTGATCAGGTTTTCCGTGAGGTCGGTGAGGATTTTGATCGCTTCTCGATGGAGATTGCTGAATCTTAGTTTCCGTATGGAAGGAAATCGGGGATCGTGGAACGAGGAGGTGTGGGGTATGGCTTCATCGAGTCTTCGGCTTCGTATCGCTTCTGTTCCATCGGGGAGACGAATTCTTGGCTTTGTCTTATCCTTTGTGATCTCCGTGGTTTAGTTTCGGCGGGGTCGTTCTTGATTAGGGATACCGTCTGAGCTCGATCGCTGTGCGAATTTGGATGGCCTCTTGATGGAATCGGGGATTGATCTCTGCGGTTCCGTTTCGGAGCGGCCGTTCTTGATTAGGGTTTCGAGCTTGTGGTTCAGTGCGGATCTTGATCGTTTCTTGATGGAGATTGAGGGGGAGGAAATCGGGGGTTTTGATAATTTTCAGTTGATTGGTTAGATGATTCGGGCTTTTGGTTGGGCGAGGACTGGGTGATTGATTGGTTCTCTTAATTTGATTTTTTTTTTTATAGTTGAATTCACCCATTAGAGATCTTCATTGGCCAGGCAATTAAACATTTTTGATCTGATGTTTTTGGTTCAATTGCTTAAACATTTTCCTTTCATCATCCAGTCAATGGATGAGATTGGTAATTTACACTATGATCTGAATAACCGTGTTCACTTTCTTTATTTTTTTTAATTTTAGTAATAATCATAAATAAGAGAGATACTAATTGGAGCTGCGTATGTGATTTGAAGGAGGGGGATCATCATGCGCATTTCCCGGGCACCTGGCACTTCTCCGCCCTCCTTCAGGCAGGCATCTGACGAAGCGGACGCACCACCGCCCTTGGTTCCCTCCCATTTATTTCAACTTTGCATCCCCCTCCACCACTCCAAAACCGACACGTTTGGATCGGCCCTCGAAAGAAGGAAGCGGAAAGCCCCACCCCCCGTCCTCCCCTGCTACCAACCCATAACAAGAAGCCGGAGCTGAAGAAACCATCCGACCCCTCCCTATCGCTCACTCTCTCCTCCTCATCCACCTCCCTCCCTCTCTCATGCCACCCTGAGCACCATTTCCTAACGGTTAAGCTCTCACATTTCTCTTGCCGTGCATCTGTCCTCTTCACAGGAGACAAAGACGAAGAGGTGCACTTTCATCTGTTCCCCCCGTTCCCCGACCGTTCAAGCTCTTACCTTTCGCACCCCTTCGACGTCCAACCCTTCTACTTCGATCTCCGTTTGGTGTTTTACCGTCGCTCTTTACTTAATTTCGTTCTCCGCCCGTTGGAGGCCTAAGGTCGAAGTTTGGAGCGCTGGGTCGTGTGATGGTTCGGTTTCTCAAGCGGGGGCACAGCCTTAACAGGCCGGCGGAGCAAGGCAACGAGATTGGAGACGCCTCCGGGCGCCAGGCGCACAGCCTGGTCATGGAGATCGCAGGTGGGAATGATTCGGCAGCTCAGGGAAATATTAGCCAGGGAGGGAGACCCGGCCGCTCGCTTGAAGGGCAGCAGAAAATCCCCAAGTCTCGCCTGAGTAGGGAAGGTGGCTGCCGAGACGGGCCGCCTTCAGGTGTGATCGATATCATCATACCCAGATGAAGATATTCTTAGCCATGTCCAGAAAATATGAAATGAAATAATTTAGATTGTTGGTTTAATTGAGAGCTGTCAAGGAATCAATCAATCTTGAGATGATTATCCAAAGAACAATTTAAGTTATTTCTTTCTGTTCTGATGTGTCTTCGGTGCAGATATGGAGCTAATGAAGGAGAAGTTTTCAAAGCTGCTTTTGGGAGAAGATATGTCAGGTGGCGGAAAGGGAGTTTCATCAGCTCTTGCTCTGTCCAATGCCATCACCAATCTTGCCGGTATCTTCCACATCCCTGATTTCCCTATACTCATTGGATATTGCATTTCTAAACATAAAGCAAGCATTGAAATTTGTTTTACAGAGTTACCGTACGATGAATCAGTACCGAATTCGTTCGTCGTAGTACTATTAATCTCTTTAGAAAGAATGTTAATCCATTGTTTGGTTCGACAAGGATTCTTGCTACTGCTCTAGTGATTTCGAGGGAATCTAGATCAGTTAAACAACATCTCAATGATTTCTAGCCCAATGAAGAATCTATCGACCCTTTCTGATTTCTTGTTTCTTGATATATGTAGCTTCTGTATTTAGCGAGCAGCGGCGTCTGGAACCCATGCCTGCTGAAAGGAAAGCGAGATGGAGGAAAGAAATTGATTGGCTTTTATCTGTCACTGATCATATTGTGGAATTTGTTCCTTCTCAACAGACATCAAAGGATGGATCCAACATGGAGGTGATTACTAAAAAAAAGTTCGCTTTTAGTTTATTTTAGTTAGCTTATTTTTCTGAAATCTTTGCATTTATCTATGCTTCATGTGAACAAAATTTGTCTCAAATCTTCAGATAATTGAATTCTTATTTCTTTTCTAATTGTATAGATTATGATAACTAAGCAACGCAAAGACCTTCTCATGAACATCCCTGCACTAGGAAAGCTTGATGCAATGCTCATTGTAAGACTGCCGAGCCATTCGCTTGACTACATTTTGGTCCAAATTTCTAGACATTTTTTTGTGTTGGTATAATCCTTTCAGGGTTATCTTGACAACTTCAAAGGCCAGAACGAGTTTTGGTACGTATCGAAAGATGCCGACGAGTCCGAGAAATCTAACGCAAAGAGAAATGAAGACAAATGGTGGCTTCCGATTGTGAAAGTCCCTTCGAATGGACTCTCTGAAGTTTCCAGAAAATGGCTGCAGTTTCAGAAAGAATCTATCAACCAAGTTCTCAAGGCAGCAATGGCTATAAACGCTCAGGTTCTAATGGAAATGGAAATCCCTGAGGCTTACATTGAATCCCTCCCAAAGGTAAAAGACTTGGTTTAAATCTCCTACAAGTTCAGTATATTTCAGGCTTACATTGAATCCCTACCAAAGGTAAGACTTGGTTTAAATCCCCTACAAGTTCATTATATTTCAGTTTGTATGCAGCACCTGTTCATGAATAGATTCTTCAGGTTTGCTAAATTATTTGCAAATTTATGATAGTTTTCTTTCTTTCTTTTTTTTTGGCTGTATTTGATGTTCATCAGCGTTTAAGATACGTAAAATGAAAGTTAATACATTTGTGGCTATATGAAAGTATCAAAGACAAATGACGACATACTAATGAACTTAAGTTCTTTACCTCAAATTTTTGTGCTTAATGTCTCAATCATTCAACACTGAACAGGAATATCACTGTTGTCACTTCAGTTATATGGCCTTCTGCATAACAGCACAGATTTGAAGATTGTTCATTGTTCTGTCACTTGACATTCCAATATATGAGATGATATTGAGTTGGGTGTTTCCAAATGCATTGCAGAATGGAAGAGCAAGCCTTGGGGATTCAATTTACCGGAGCATAACCGATGATGGCTTCGACCCTGAAGAATTCCTTGAATCGATGGACTTGTCAACGGAGCACAAGGTCCTCGACCTTAAAAACCGAATCGAGGCATCCATTATCATTTGGATACGAAAGATGCACAACAAGGACACAAAATCATCCTGGGGCTCAGCAGTCAGCATGGAGAAGAGGGAGCAGTTTGAAGAGAGAGCTGAGATCATCTTACACCTTCTCAAGCTGCGGTTCCCAGGCATTCCGCAATCAGCTCTTGACACAAGCAAAATCCAATACAGCAAAGTAAGTAACCAAAATTATAACAAGTCCATCATTTTCCACTAAGTAAACAACTTACATAATCTAGAAAATATCTTTGTTCTTTCTGAAGGATGTTGGACAATCTATTTTGGAAAGCTACTCAAGGATTTTAGAGAGCTTGGCTTTCACCGTGATGTCACAGATCGAAGATGTACTTTATGCTGATTCTCTCACTCAAGATCCATCCCTCAAAGATTCAAGTAGAAGGCAATTATTGACAGACTCCGACCTAGGAGCAGTGAAGAAACTGAACCCCGAAGAAGAGATGGAGAAGTTGAAGGAGGCACCTAGTTCAATGACACTATCAGATTTCATGGGTTGGCATTTCGATCCAGAGTCTGAGACAGAAATGAAGAATTCAGGGAGCTTAGAAGAAGACACGTTCAGCTCACAAGACATGAAGAAGATGAAGAAGCCTCCTGATGTTGTTACGACAAAGAAACTTTCATATATCGAAAAACTCGAGAACTTACGATGCTTGAGAAGCCCAACGGCCCGTCATTAAAGACCCTCACCAAGTACAAGAGAGGATACCGACATTGGTAGCAACGGAGGCAACTTGGAATCAAGTGTAAATAGTTCAAAAGCATTCTAGATCCTTGATAGCTCCAACTGGTGAGTTGATCTTTCAACCCTTTTTTGTAGATGGTAACAGCAACTCTCATGTTCCATACTCAGCTTATCTCAATTACATGAAATGCTCAGTAGTCCGCTTCCAACATCATCAACTTGTTCTAAAGGGGAATTGTAGAATGATGAAAAACAATGAAGATGAGAAATACTTTGTGATGTGTTTTGAATCACTTCATCACATGTCCCAATTATTCAGGTTCAGCTAAATCGTATACACCCGATGTTTTCGTCATTTTGAATCCACACATGATGGAAAAGGATTCAATAATACAAACCAAATAATGGCTTCAACTGTTCCAACAATAGTGACAATGAAAACAATGCTAGCATCACATCACAAAATGAACCTTCCCCCTCGCACTTTTTTTAATGTCAGGCCTATAGTGCATCAACAATCTGTCAAGAAAATTCATCATAAATATGAAATGGCAAGGGCCCGTCGTGTCTGGAGACTTACTATGAGAACCTAATAGAAAAACCTTTCTCTGTAGTAGACACATTTATGTTGCCAATTTCATCAGGGTCAGAATCTGAATCCATGTCCCTGTAATCAGCCCATGCCTCTGGAGAGCTCTCATTGTGCTCTTCTTTATTAGAAGGGATTTTCAACTCACTCGGAGGCACGGGCAGAGGTTCTTCAGCAAAGTAGCGATCGTGGAGCAGCTCAGCTGCAGTAGCCCGAGAAGCAGGATCGTAGCACAGCAGCCTCTTCACAAGACCAACTTCAGCAGCACATCTGTTGGGAAGGCATGCTTCCAGGCCAGTAGGATTTTCAACCTTGCTGAAGGAGATCTTGTTATAATCAGGCAAGTTTGAGCAACCCGGGCAGGTTTCTTCGGTTAAATTGCCCAAGACAGTGATGATCCTACCCAGTTGATCTAAATCTGATGTCCCTGGAAATAGAGGATCTAAACTGACAAGTTCTGCAAAAATGCAGCCTAGCGACCAGAGGTCAATCTCTTTTCCATAACTCATCGATCCATAGAGTAGTTCAGGTGCTCGAAACCACCTTGTCCCAACACATGAAGTCAGAGCACCAGATTCATCTACTTCATCTTCCTGTGCGTCGTAAGAATAATAAGAGCCCTTGAAGGGATCAACCTCAATGTCACCCGTACTACAGGTGGCCAGACAAGACGTGTCACCATCTTGCAAACTCATCTCCTTATCACTATCATACGTCGTATTCTTTGCCTTCAGACCATACAACTCCTTCAGATAGTCATCTTCGTTGACCTGCCGGAGGCCTTGTGCATTCTGTTGATCGGATCTATGCTCTTGAACATCCTGGACACCGGATTCGTCTGGCAATGACGTATTCCCCTCATGTTGAACCGCAGGCAGTTGTTGAACCCATGTCTCATTCTCTGAAAATTGTTCATGTGGACTACTGTCAATCGATATCAATCTATTCTCCTGAAGCATCCTCGACTGCAAAGGATAAACAGATTCAACAATCTCTGATAGAAAAAACAGTTTGTCAATTTAATGATTAATGACGACTATAGATCGTGAATATAAAAATATCCACAAGCGAAAAGCAAAGGAGGAGTTCATCTAATACGTGCCTCCATCTAACTAACCACAGTTCATCCCCACTATATTCACCTACTAGAATGCAATCGAAAGGTTTCTTTTATAAAAATTGTAGGTCTGTCATAATTCATGAAAAAAGAAGGATTTTAACCCTCAATATAATCCTTTCCTGAAGATAAAATCATTTATGGTGCCTTTGTTACAATTTGAATATCTCATAATACAAATAGTATATTTGTTATTCATATAAACATAAGAAGTGCCCTTTGTTCTTATGTTAGCTAAGAACCAATCATATGTTAACCAAGTCACAAAGACTATGAGCACATCTTTGTTCTTCGCTCATATCATCTTCATGGCCATGGTTTGCCCTCGGTTGACCTGATCGATCTGACCTAATCTTAGTCTGGAATACTGTAGTACTATTCTGAAAAATGAAGCAAGAAGATGAAAGCTTTATGGAGATCTATCAAACAGATACCTGACCGAAATCTGCCAGCTTGAGAACCCCATCGGCCGAGATCAACAAGTTTGACGGCTTGAGGTCGCGATGCACCACCGAGCTCCTGTGGCATGCCTCGACCCCCCTCAAAATCTGGACCATCCACTGCTTCACCTCGCCGATGGCGATCCCCCCGCTTCTCTTCGCCTCCCGGATGACGGCGGCTAGGTCAGCGGGGAGGAACTCCAGCACAAGCACGGCGTCCTCGTCCTCGTGCCAGAAGTACTCGATGAGCTCGACCACGTTGGGGGAGCCGCGGAGGGCCTGCAGGGCCTCGATCTCGCGGAAGGAGCTCCGGTAGTCGTGTATCTCCTTGAGGGCGACGATGAGGCCGTCGGAGCGGCGACGGCCGCGGTAGACGTCCGCGTAGGCGCCGGAGCCGATCCGGCCGAGGATCTCGTACCGCTGGGCGATCTCGCCGCGGCCGTAGATGCTCCAGCTCCGGGACGAAGTCCGCACCGGCATCGGCTGCGGAGGGGAAGAATCCATGACGATCGAGATCGAGGGTTCCAGCCAACGAGGGTTTCTGGTCGAGGACGGCGCGGAGGTCACCCGAAGTGGATGCGATCGGTAAAAAGGAGTACGACCTTCGTACTTTTCATAAATAATAATAAGCAAATTATTTTTCTGAACTCAGATGGAACACACATCGAGCTTAAATCGAGGGTTGATCGAGAGAATTGGTTCGGTCGAACCAATTCACTCCGATCCCTGAAACCGGACGCCATGTGTCGTTCGGCTTCGTGATCCTCCGCTTGTAAAGGCCGTCGGCGGTGAGTCTCCCCCACTTCCGGTCTCTCCTCCCGTCTCTCTGCCATTCTCCCTCTTTCTCCTCCTTCGCTGTTCTTCCCTTACCCCACCCGCCCCCCGAGTCTCCTCGACAACCCCCCTCCCTCCTCCTTTGGGCCTCTCCTCCTGCGTCGCCCCCGGTTGATCCTGATTACAAGTCAAAAGAGTGGCTTTTTTATGATGGCAGTTCGCGTCATCGACAAAGATCAAGAAACCCCGATTTCTAATCAGATTCGGTCTCCGGTTCTAGTTTAATACGGACTCCGCGGGAGGGTGTTTCTGTCTTTGGTTGTTCCCTATTTACCTCTCGATTCTTCTGCTCGACTCGAACCAGCGACCCTGCCCCTCGTCCTCCTCCACCGTGCCAACGAACACGCCCTTGCCTCGCCGCCTCATCGTGGCCCACTCTCCCTCCATTGCAGTCTTCGACTTCGCAGTGCCATCATCTTGTATACCCTTCGCTGTGCCTTGGACGGTACTCTTACGAGGCGTTCCCTCTCAGCTCAGCGCCTTGCTGCCCCCTTTGCGGCTCCAGGTTCTTGAGCCTTGTCCACCTGACATCCGACCCTGCGCCCGCCCTTCACTGTCTCTGATTGTTGGAATAAGGTAAGGCTGTAAGCCTCTTTCCTAGTTAATCCTTTCCTATCATGTACTCTTCCGTTCACTTTGCGGAGTATAGACCAGGATTCTAGCAAGTTTTTTACAATCTTTTTAAAAACGAAATCAAGACAAAATTATGAATCGATCGATATCTTTTTTGGGCGACAACAGAAGAGAATGAAGGGTGGATTGCTTTTCCGTGGTTGGAAGACACTGACCTCGAGAGGTTTTTCCTCTTTGAATGATAAATCTCTTCGTGTCTGCGTCATTGGCAGCGGCCCTGCTGGTTTTTACACTGCTGAGAAGGTGCCTACTGTTCCTTTTCTTGATTTGCTTTGTAATTTAAACTGTAAAAAAAATACTGCTATTCAGTTATTGTAGCTTGATGAAAAGATTTCTTTTAATTTAAATGATATGGAAATTGTTGTCTAATCTTGGCAAAACATTGGATTCTTTCTGGAATTTCACCCGTTTCGCACCTTTTTGTTTTGTTAAGAGCTCGTCGAGAATATGAAGCAATTTTACATTCATTTAAAATTTCTCATTAATAGACATTTCTACATAGATGAGGTTCTTGATTCATTTGAATCTTTGCAGTTTTTGGGTGTATGATGATTATCATTATTGTGATTTTTAATATTGCAGATGTTGAAGGCACATGAAAGAGCAGAAGTTGATATTCTTGACCGGTTGCCAACACCATTTGGATTAGTTCGCTCGGGAGTGGCACCAGATCATCCTGAAACAAAGGCATGCCTTAGTTCACACGACTAATATCTATTTGAATCTTGAGTTATCGTTATCTTGACAAAGGCATAAACTAAAATTGAGGTTTCATTCCCAGTGAAACGATCTGTTTTATTCATATACATCAGATAAGTGTTTAAGTTCATCTTTGTGCAGTTCACGTCTTAAGTATCTAACTTAAATGAACTCATTACTACTGCATGTAAGTGGTATAGTTGGTTTGGCAGCCTGCGCCTGGACGACAGCCACTTTTTGGTGTCTAATAGTGAATGAGATAGACCATGCTATCATCATCATCCTATGGCAGGACATGAAATTTGTATCTCACAGACATGCCTATATTTCACCGAGCCTCAATCCAAGACCGTGGCCAGATGTTTCACCTTTTGTGCAGATCAGAACTTACAAGTCTCGTGACATTTAGTTAAAAAAAAAGGGTATTGTTGTAGAGCATTTATTCATCCTTTGGTTTTAGGTAATGGATTTGCTAGTGTGAAGTAGGGAGATTCATAGAGCATTCTTGGTGGGGCTGCTACTTGGTTGGGTTGGGTTGGGTCTAGTTGGAGGTTAACCCAGGCCAAACCTTGGATTTGTGGTGCTTGCCCATAGCTTGACCCAACCTGTCCTAGAGTGCTGGCAACTTAGCCTGGGTCCAGCTTTGAGGTCAGGTTGGGTTCAGTCAGGTTATTGCAGGCAGGGTCAGCCATTAACATCTATGCCTTGTCTACACACATCACTAACCCTTAAAGTAATTGTACCTGAGGATGCTCTCATACCTTTTATTTGTGTTGGACATGGATTAAAATGTGTTGTGTAGCAAGAATGAGTTCAAAATGACATAAACCAACCATATGGAGGCTTCCAGGTAGACAAAGTACTGAAATCTGCCTGCTGAACCGATTTGGCTTTCTTATCATTTTATTCAATAATATGATTTAAATCAAATAATCTAATCTACATGATTTCTTATAACTGAAAATACGCAGAAGGACGTGCGCAGCTATTAACCAGCCTTTTCATCTTGTTAAAACTCTTTTCTGAATACATTCGGTAGATCAATTCAAATGGTTTAATAAGCTTTTTATATTCAAGTCGCTACCTGCTTTAGTCATCTACAGATGTCATCTTGTGTTGTTTATGATATTTCTTTTTTAACTTAGTTCGCTAGAAACTTGGCCACAGATTGTTGTTAACCAGTTCTCTCGGGTTGCTTCAAATGAGAGGTGCTCATTCTTCGGGAATGTATCACTAGGATCTGATGTTTCTTTGTCTGAACTCCGTGATATGTATGATGTGGTAAGTTTTAAAAGTGACAATTGGCAATAGTAGATTATTTGCTGCCCTCATGTTTCATCCATTTCAGCCTTTAGTTAAAACTTTGTACATTCCACGATCAGGTTGTTGTTGCTTATGGTGCTGAAAGTGACAGATCTCTTGGTGTCCCAGGGGAAGTAAGTTGTTTTAAGTTACACAATCTTTTGGTTGAGTTCTTTCTTATAATCTAGAAACTAAAAAAAAGTCATGTTTTTATGTTTTCATGTTACTCAATTATCATTTGGTTTTAATAGATATGCAACATGATGCAGACTCTTGATGCATTTGGAAACTATTAGTAGATGTTTCATAGAAGAATGGAACACCCAGATGATCAAAATTGCCTGACAACGTTGCATTAAATACTCATTGACAACCAACTGGGACAATGATATAGTAGGTGTTTACATGTTAAATTAAACTAAGGTGTTTACCTAATCTCCTTATTGCAACACAAATTGTAATTGACGAAGAGGCATATACTTATACATAGCAAAATAAAATGACAGTTCCAGTTCAAGTTTTGGGAGATACATATGTTATTCTCATTTTCTTCCTTTTCTGCTCTAGAATTTGAAAGAGATATACTCGGCAAGAGAGTTTGTGTGGTGGTACAATGGACATCCTGACTGCCGTTACATGGCACCTGATTTGAAGTGTACTGATACAGCTGTAGTACTTGGCCAGGTACCTTGGTGAAATTTAGTTGCAAGTTGCTGTAGCATATTAAAAATATTTGTTTAGAAGTTGAAGATGGAATAATTGAACAAAACTATTGATTCTGTAGATGTTTTGCTTGACTACATACTAGCGCATTATTTTCATGTAGAGCATGAAGTTAAATACTGGTATTACAGGGTTTTGACAATCTGTTGTGTGAAGCTCACTGATAAATGCTGGCATTTAAACAATTTTTAATATTTTTTTCAGCTGTGTATCAAGGTGTACCATACATCCCATCTGATACATACTAATCTTTAAGATTCTTGTATGGTTACTAAGCATCTTTCATTTGTATCTCTTTCTTTCCATGGATACAATACCTTCCCCAATCTACAAGAGAGTGGTGTTCCTTTTTTCCTATTCCAAACAATTTGAAGTATGTGGGAGTACACATACTATTGGCATTATATTTGCAAGATGATTAGGGATTTTACTTATTTCAAATTGGTGAGGCTGGTTGTTTTGCTGCATTTGGCAAGCTGGGATGGGGTAGGCAAATTTTGAGCCAGAAATAAGTGATGCCATCTCTACCCTGGTCTCAATCATTTTTTTTATAATCATCTCTTGCCCCTGTCTTATTCCCTAATCAAAGTTGTTGAAACCTGACCTGACCTAGTCAAATCAAGCTGGTGCACTGTGGTTCAGGTTTGAAATTGTGATCCTTACTCTTGCTTCCCTTTTAATACTCTGATCCTGGCTTTTAGTCCTAAGTCTATTTTTTTCCAACCTCATCATAGTATCTTCCCTCTTTCACTTGTCATGCTGCTTTAGTTATTTCCATTTCCCGTGGCTTCTATGAAGCACATTTTAGATACTCTGCCTGCTTTAAACTATTAGACTATCTGACCTTCTTTAATTTTACTTTTTTTGCTTGACTTTTCTTTTTATTGTCAGCGGTCACCTATGTCAATATTGAGCCATGTTGCACCTGTAGCTGTAATTTTTAAATTGGTTTCTTAAGCATCTGTTCTGTGAGTATATATACTCAAGAGAAGATTGACATGCATATACTAAGCAATGAAGTTTGACAATCTCTTGACATGCTCAGAATATTAGTTATTTGTCAATTTTGAAGTGAAGGAAGTTGAACTTGTTTTTGCATTTGAAAACTAACTTTGAAATTAGTTTGCATTTCATCATGGATGACTCTATCATAATAGCAATTACATTAATTTTCAAATGATGATGCTTTCAGGGTAATGTGGCTCTTGATGTTGCACGTATTCTTTTGCGACCTATGACCGAGTTGCAGACAACAGATATTGCTGAACATGCTTTAGTTTCTCTTCAGGAAAGCACCATAAGGTTTTTGCTTGGCCAAACAAGTTAATTAGTGCCCACAGTAATGTTTACCTTGCAGTTTTGACACAATTTTGATTCATATTATCCCTTACTGCTAAAGAAAGGTTTACTTGGTTGGAAGACGAGGCCCAGCACAGGCAGCTTGCACAGCAAAGGAACTGCGTGAAATTCTTGGTATGATTTGTTTTGCAGGACAGATATGCATGATGATAACTTGACCACAGCACATATCACTGTGTATTTCATCATTAGAAAAATGGGAACTGCATACTTATTTACTTGTAAAACCAAATTTGCATTAGTCGTCAAAGGCTTATGTTCCTTTATACATGCAATTTCCAACTGTGCAAGTATGACTATGAAAGAATTCAATTTTCGAAGCCCAAATTGTAAATACTGACCCAATACTGATTTCGACTACTTGTTAGATGGGTACAATATTGGTATACTGGTGGTATACTGATCTATACTGCTGAGTTATAATGAAAAACGAATAGCGACCGATATTGAGCTACATTGTCTGGTATGATCCTTGGTCAGTATGTGTATCGATATCATTGAATATTGATATCTAAAATCATGCTCCAAGCAACAAAGAGTTTGCTGGATAACTATGGGATTTCACTTCTGTAGTAGGGATATGTTTTAGCAATGGCTACTTATTATGCTTCTAGTGATTGTTTTTGCATATCCTTTTCATATGAAATTTAATTATTTTGATGGCTGCAAGAAGAATTCTTTAACATTACCATCTATGTGGATATAAAAATATTAAAAAAAATGAAAATGATCAAGATTCAGTATCTCAAGCTGTTAAGAGAAAAGCTGTGACTGGTTAAAAGTGATTGAGAATAGGGGTTTAACAACAATATCTGAGACGCATGCACAAGCTAATTTATTCCTGTTCATATGTATAGCTGTCACTTACCACAGCCTAGTCTGGCTAATTTCTTATGGAAGTTATGGTTTAAGACTGTTGAGTCCTGCATATTGGCCTTTATGGTATTATATTTTCTCTCTATTTTGGAATGACTTGTGCAGGCATGAAAAATCTGCAAGTTCACATTCGGGAAGCTGATCTAGTTATATCTCCTGCTGATGAAGTATGCATCAACTACAGTACAATCACTAAAACTATATTTTGTTTGTTTGAGATTCACTTGCTTTTACACATCCTATCATTTGACAATGATTTCCCATTTTTAAGTATTACATCATTACATTGAAATACATATTACTTGCTAATTTGCACTCGAGATCTAAATTAGTTTGATTATTCTACTTGCATTTGCAGTAAAATTATATTATTTACTAGTTGACTTATCAACTCAGTTTTGTTTGATATGCAAGTTCACAATCCACTATCTTTAAGGGCATTCCCCTTCACTAACTGCTGGCTTTGGATTTTGTTTTACTATCAATTTTCGTGATATCTGATATACTTGTGGTGTTTTTTTAAGGTTTACTTACTACTTAGGTTTCAAAAATATAATATAAAAGAACTTGAGGCTTTTTCTGTCTCTTTCTAATTACAGGAAGAACTAAAGGCTAGTAGAATTCAGAGACGAGTCTATGATTTGCTATGTAAATCAGCTACTTCCCATCAGAGACATGATTTTGCTGGCCAGCGAGAACTTCATTTTATATTCTTCAGGAAACCCGACAAATTCGTGCCTTCAGAGGATGAGTCCAGAGTTGGAGGTGTACGACTTGAAAAGACTTGTCTGAAAGGTTAGATCTGGAGAGCAACTTGCTCTTTAAAAGGGCTGGCCACCGTGCTTAATTCTTCCAATTTACTCTTACATGCAAGATTTCATGATCTGTTTAAATATAAAATTGCTTCAGCCACATTTCTTTCTGTGTAACCTATGACATGACATTTGTCATTTGCACAGCAAATGGTCTTTCCGGAAAACAGGTTGCGATTGGAACTGGACAGTTTGAAGGCCTCAATTGTGGGTATGTACTCCAATTTACTCTGGTATGCTGCCATCTGGATTTGGAGATCGTGAATTTTACAGTTCAATGAGACCATGAGAGCTTGTGTTCCTCTGCATCAGCTTCACCATCTAATTTGACCTCTACATGTTTTAGTTTGGTATTGAAGAGCATTGGTTACAAATCTGTGCCGGTTGATGGATTGCCTTTTGATAAATACAGAGGTTGGTTCTCAAGGCCCTTTGGCAGCATTACTTCTGGTGGATTTTACAAGTTTCATTAGTACAAATAAAAGCTAAAACCTGAAGGGTTAGCTATATGCAATAATATGCAGAATAAAAATTTCAACTATTTTTAGTTTGTCCAAATGATGTAGTTTTTGTAATTTTTCATTTTATTTTAAGTTAGTTTATAGTAGACTTCTTTCCTTACACATCACTTGGGTTTTTTCCAACAATGGCTATCAGCAGGTGTAGTACCCAATGTGAAAGGCAGAGTGCTCAGCAGCGACCAGCCCGAGAATGTTAACATAGAGCAAGGATTATATGTTGTCGGGTGGTTGAAAAGAGGGCCGACAGGAATAGTTGCAACAAACCTCTATTGTGCTGAAGAAACTGTAAGTTGACGTCTTCCTTGGATAACTCGTAGACTGTGTTTAACATGGAATATATGTCACAAAATTAACATCAAGACGGAAACAACCATTTTGCACATACAACTGCATAGAACATTGTTTTGTACTGTAAAAAGTAAGATCAGTTATATATACATGAGCAAGCTTGCCTCCAGACTTCATCTATCCAAGTGGTTTAAAGCTTACGGCAAGATCATAGCAAGTCTTTTAAGGCTTAGGGAGCGCGAATCTTCACCACCTTGATAAAGAAAATTTTGATCAGATCGTTAGTGTCTTCATCAAGGTGATTTATTTTGGTGTTAACATTTGCAGGTTGCAAGCATTTTGGAAGACATCGATAACGGTTTGATTGCGTCGCCGTTCGGATCACCTAAACCAGGCAGGCAAGGGCTCCTCCAAGCTCTGGAAGATAAGAATGTCAGGTTTGTGCCATTCGGTGGATGGGAGAAGATAGACTCCAAGGAAAAGTTGGAAGGTCAACTGAGAAACAAGCCAAGAGAAAAGCTAACAACATGGGATGAGCTCCTCAAAGCTGCACTTGGATGATGAACAGAAAGTGTAGCTTTTCCTACATTATTTTTTCTGGCTATTTCTGTTGCTCAAAATAAGTTTCAATTTCGAGGAGTTCAAAGTTAATGAATTCATTCAATAACAAATTAAGAAATTTGTAGGCCACAGAACAACATGCTTCAATGTTCTTTGAAATTCCAAGATGGATTGACAAAGGTGAAATGGAGAACTTTGTTTGGCTCAGCTCAAGCTTTATTATTCTGCGCAAGATACTAAAATCATCGAAAAGCTTCCTTCCCAATTTCCATTGTCGAAAAATAAAAAAGGAAATGAAGAATCAAAGAAGCACAGATGCCAATCAAAGCCCCATGTTGTGAACAACGAAGCAGCCTCCACTCATGTAAATTGTCAACCGACAACTTTCTCAGCCCCTTAAATTGACTTTCAAGTCAACGCAAAAAGACTATCCATTAGATCTACCGCCAGATCATAATACGGCTGTCAGTTGTAATATAATGGGCAGCCAACTGGCTTTCTTCTTCGTGCTCTGTGCAAGATTGCCATGGCTCTCATCACCTTCCCTACCTTCGTTTCCTCTGCCTATTACCTGCATATTCCACTCTTCCTCATCATCCTCCTCCTCGCACTCTTCTCCTCTTCTTCAGCAGCTGAGATTTCCTATGACGACCATTGCAGCTCCGTCGTCCCTCAATCCATGGCCACCAGCCTCCGTTTTGGTTCCGCCATCTTCATATCAAACGGCTACTTCTCTGGTGGTGGAGACCTCTTCCGCTCGGACTCCGGCTTCAATGGCTCTTCCTCCTTCCAGTTCCACTCCACTTACCTCCACAAGACGCGATCCCCCGGCACCTACCAAGTCGCCGGGACCCTATCCTTCCATGACTCCATCCAAACTTACCTCACCTTCAACGCTTTCGGCTTCTGGTCCGAATCAACCGGCAAGCTTTGCATGGTCGGCGATGGTGGTTTCCGCCAACCTGAACCCCAACACCTCGGTGAGCCTCTCTATCTCTCCGCAGTTCTAAAGCTCGACTTCCCCAAAACATCCAACATCACGTCCTCCCTGGTGAGCGGCAGTCTGCAGAGCTGGGATCCCGCCGGCAGTCCCAACCACTTCGATCCCATTTGGCTTTCAGCTTACGCTCAGAACGGGTACGACTATACCATGATCCCTCAAGCCAACAGTTCATGTTCCCCTCGCAGATTCGAGGAGGAATCGTTGGGCTTCGAGCCTGCTTCGACTTGTTCTTTCCTCCATTCACACATGCATGGTCGAACATATAGATTAGGTGGGAGTCTTGGATTCTCCTCGAGATATATGGCCTTCAACATGATCTGTCAACAGGACGGGATGTTGCATCTGTCCATCGGATTCTCCAATGTCAGCAGCAGATACGAGAACATAGCGTCCGAGATTTCCTTGGTCGGAGAAGGCTACTGGGATCGCAGTAGGAATCAGCTCTGCCTTTTAGCTTGCCGCATCCTTAAGGGGCGGAATTCAAAGGCCAATTACTCTGTCGGTGATTGCACGATCGGATTGAGCTTGTGGGTTCCAGCGGCCATGACGCTGCAGAGTCGGAGCAACATCGTGGGCAGGATTTGGAGCAACAAGAACACGAACGACGTCGGCTACTTCAGCACGATCTCGTTCCAGAGTCTGGGAAGTCATATGAACACGATTCCTGGGCCAATCAAGTATAAGTACACTTCAATAGATTCTGTCCGGAGCTCATGCAGCGCGACCGGTGGAGCTACGCGGGGCAAGAGAAGATATCCGAATGGAAGATCTCCTGGTGACATGGGATTCTCGATCTCTTTGAAGGATGATGGCGGCAGGCGAGGGTGGGGGCAGGCGAGGGTGTTGTCGATCGGAGACACATATTATGGCGACGGTGACACTGCCATGGCGCCGGCAGAAAGCTCGGCATCTGCAGCTGATCTGGTAGAGATGGACGACGAGCACCACAGCACGATCAGGAACGTAAGCTATGCGATAAGCTACAAATTCATCTCTGTTCCTTCCGATGAATTCTTAGAGATCGCTGCAGAAGGGATCTACGATGCTGCGAGTGGAACCCTCTGTATGCGAGGATGTCGATTCCTAGATTCCATCGACTGCGAGATCCTGATTAAGATCCAGCTGAGACCTCTCGATCCCAAGGCCGGGGAGCACATCAGCGGCACCATAAGCAGCACGAGGAACAAGCGGGACTCCCTCTTCTTCCACCCGATCGACGTCTCATCCGATCACATGTACGAGTCGGAGGCAGTCGATTCGATGTGGAGGATGGATGTCGAGATCGCCATGGCTTTGGTCTCCCTCACCTTGTCATGCATCTGCATCCGGTCTCAGATCCTCCACTCCAAGAAGCACCCGGAGGCCCTTCCCTCCATGTCGATCGCCATGCTGGTTCTCCTCGTGCTCGGCTACATGATCCCCTCCGTGCTGAACTTTGAAGCCCTGTTCGTGACCCGTAAGAGGCAGAACGTGCTCCTGCGGAGCGGGGGGTGGATCGAGGTTAACGAGACCATCGTCAGGGTCATGTCCACGGTGGCGTTCTTCCTGTCCTTCCGCTTGCTTCAGGTGGCATGGTCTCCGAGATCACCAGAGGAGAGCAAAAGGCAGAGGGCAGCACTCATGGTGTGTTTGCCTCTGTACTTTGCCGGGGGGCTTCTCATCTGGCTACTCCAGCTGCAGGGCTGGGAAGAACTGATCTCATACGCTGGGTTGGTGGTTGATGGCTTCTTGCTCCCTCAGATCATCCTCAACATCTGCAGGAACTCGAGAGGCAACACCCTCACTGCCTTCTTCTACCTCGGAATCACAATCATTCGAGCAATGCCGCATCTATACGATTTGTATCGAGCTCATCGGTACGTGCCTCATGTCAGTTCGTCGTACATCTACGCCAGTGACGATGGAAATTACTATTCATCAATGTGGGATCTAATCGCTCCTTGTCAAGGATTTGTGTTTGCTGTGATCATATACGTGCAGCAGCGGTAGGGTGGTGGCTGTGTGCTTCCCATGAGGTCCCTAATAAGCTGGCCGTCAAAGGCTCATCTGTAATTTCAGTATATGAAGTGTGTGCAATTAGGGTTTTAGATTAAACCAAATAGACAGAATACTCTCTTCCTAAAGGGAGAACTTAGCCCTATTCTTATGTATGCTGTGTGATCTTTCCTTCAATGCCATCTTCTCCGAAAGGGAGAGCACTATGATTTCTGGAGCAAGTCAAATGCAAACTCTATTCATCTCTCAAGACCTTTGGGATGTGGTTGACGATTCATATGAAGAAAGAAGAGAGAAAGAGCACGTAAGAAGAGGTGCAAAAGAAGAAAGAAGGAAAGATCAAATTGGATCGGACCAGATAAAACCGAACAGAATCCAGTAAAAAGATATAGTGTCACATTTTTTTGGTCACCGATGCAGGCATCTCTTCTACTCGATGGGAGCAAAAGATATGCTTTCTTGTGCTTAATTTACTTCGATAAGTGCATGCATCGTCTTGCATTTATTAGCTTCCTCTCGTTCCCATCAACATCGAAAGCGTCAACAAATTGGAGACACAAGGAAGAATTCCGCCTTCACGGTGTGTCGCGGTGAGAGCTTTCCTTGTTGCACGGCGGCGTTAGCTGCCAATTAATTACCTCCTCCTACTGCCTGTCAGCTTTCTTGCTCCGCCGTATTGACACGGACTTAGCTGGTTTTGCCTAAGCCGTGCGGCACCCTTGCGTGTCCGTCCGCAAAGGTCAGCCTCCCCGAAGCCTCTCATTGTCCCTTAGGACCACCAAAAGAGAGAACGGGTTAGAGAGAACGCCTCAAACGGGATCCACAAGCAAACATGTCTGAAAAACACTTTATAGACAATGCAAATTACAAACAGACTTTACAAGCTCTGAACAGTGGCACAACAAAGGGTAAAATGGTCCATTACAGACCGAAAAGCTCTCTCACGTGTCCACATGACACAACCTTTATTTACAAGCCTAAAGAGGCCACCAACCCAACTAAAATGGGACTTATAAGCCTTCGGCTGCCCCTCTACACACTATACAAGGCATGAACATGCCAACAGACACGGACAGATATAAGCATTACATCAAACACCCTATTTCAAAGTTTGTCCGTGACATTCTCCCCCACTTATTCCTTCAACGTCCCCGTCAAAGCCTTTGTGAACACTGCAACTCTTCGCCTTTGCTGAGTCTTCAATCTTCTGCTCCAGCTGCAATGCGCCTCCTGGCTCCCAGCTGCTCTCCGCTGCTGTTTTTGAGTAGTCGAACCTTTGATCCGCCATGCTGCTTCAACTCGCCAATGACTCTAACTCTGGTGTGGGGTTGGCTGAGTTGTGTTGATCCTTGTTGATTTCTGCGGATCTCCCAGATGAAGGAAAAGACCATCCTTACTGCGCCAGTCTCTCAAAATTTCCACATGCTGCTTGAACTGGGTGGATGCTTGTTGGAGCTTTAACGAGCATCGCCTCGCCAACTTCTGAAGTTTTGGGTCCTTCCTCCACAAAATCTGCTCATTGACTCT